CTGCGAGGTAGTCTTGTTGACGCAGCACCTCCCTGCGAGGATTATTGTTGACGCAGACCTATCCTGCGGGGTAGTCTTGTTTTCGCAGCACCTCCCTGCGAGGATTGTTGTTGACGCAGACCTATCCTGCGAGGTAGTCTTGTTTTCGCAGCACCTCCCTGCGAGGATTATTGTTGACGCAGACCTATCCTGCGGGGTAGTCTTGTTTTCGCAGCACCCCCCTGCGAGGATTGTTGTTCACGCAGACCTATCCTGCGAAGCACCTTTCTACACTCGCGGGGCTCATGGCAGCGAGGGAGCACAGTCTTACATCGCTGGGCTCGTGGCAGCGACAGCCGTGGTCACGGAAGCTCTCAAGCCCGCAGGCAAGAGAGGGACACTATGATGCATCAAAGTGTGAGGACCAAAGTGTGAGGATGGAAGTCCTCAGAATTTTGGGCTGGGAATCCGGCCCCTTTTATAACTTTTCGGTCAAGTCTCTACCAAGGAACCAGTTGCGCCGAGGGCAGCGAGAATCACTGTCCTTTGGTTGGCGTTGAAGCAAGTTGAACGGCGTTGAAACGGTATTTGGAGACTTTGTGGCCTACAGTCAAGTCTCAACCTGGAATCATTCCTCTCAAGATTCTGCATTGAGTGTGGTGAACCACTTTCATCAACTGTTGAGTGAAAGCAACGCCGCAGAAATGTGATTCCTACATATTGTTGAGTTTGCAATTAAATCGCTCAACGCGGTGACACTCTACATCTGCCTGTTTTGGCCACGGTCACCGTCTCTTTCATGAGGGTTGAAGTGCTTCAACAGATGCCGAAATAATAAATCGAAGACTGTGGCCGACAAAAACGCTGAACTGTACCTGCGGTTGGCTGGAGGATCCTTTGGTCTCGCTCGAATCAATTCCGTCCATCGCTAGCCCCGCGCCGCTGAATGTTGTTTCTTTCCTGTCTACTCGCTGCCAGCTCATGTTGCCTTTACTAGAATCTCTACTCCCTGGCCGCACTGACACTGACATAGTCTCTACTCAGGATGAGGATTGTCTTCCTTTGGGAGGACATAATCAAAGTCCAGACCCTATTGGAAAGCTTTCCATAGAAACCGAGCCTATTTTCCAGGACAATCATGTGAACTGTTGCAGCTACCAAGGCTCACGAGCTAGGTTCTTGTGATCGCCACCCACCTCGCGAGATTGCAACGCTACTATCATATTGATGCGACCCTGGGGACAAATAGCACCAGACGGACTAATCAAACACCACGCGCGAATTTAGACAGACGCAGGTACGGTTCTGCGATGCAGGTCCCAGCGACGACCCACGAGACAGTAGATCAAGGAGGTTCTATTTATGGCCCGGAAAAGAAAGTGGAAGGATTTGCAAAGGTCCAGACACGAGCTACAACCTCAGACTTGATGGCAGTTATAGGTGGTACTGCTGGGGCAGGTCGGGTATTTGGAATATCACGCACACTTTGGCGACAGAATGGTAGGCTAAATCCCGATCCGTGGTTGTGTTCTCTTGGGTGTTGTCACAAGAGAGTATGTTCTCCTGTCAAGTGGCAAGCTGCTCTTTGTCTATCTGTAGAACGTTCTAGAAGCTATGTCTTCTGTCCTGCATGAACCGAAACGCCCATCAAGCAATTAGCATAATGTGGCATCTGGAACTTCGGCATTTTTTTCGTTGGCCAAAGGGGTGGTGATGAACAACAAGGAGGTTTGCGACTAACAATGCAAAAGCTTCCACTTCTTCAATTTGTCGACAGCTTTAAGCGGACCGATTTTCCGGATGACTACGATGAAGAGTAACTAAATCGAAAGGGCCCTGTGCGACCAGTCTCGTCATGTGAAGAGTACTCCCTGGTGGGCATGCGACAGTCCAAGCCTTTCCATCGCCTAAATCAACTTGCCAGCACATATTGAAACTTAGCGGCACGACCATGGGTTTTAGTCGCTCAAGTCAGGGTAAGCGGGGAGGTCAAGAACCATTAGGGTATTGTGCGAATGCTCTTCGATGAATCAAGGTGTCTCGAATAGGTCAATTACAAAGGGAATTTAGAAAAGGCTAATCTCGAAGAGACCCTAGTCCCAAGCTTGGTTACTACGTACTCTAGTTGATCAAGCGTAATGCCGGCATGTCTTGCTGTCTCCTTCCCATTCATAGAGATCAACATCATTTATTCCTTAACATTAGCATCCAAGGAGATAGCGGAACCTTCATTCATGTTAATATTGACTATGCTTGACATCTCAGTAGCTATTGCGGTAATTATGTGCGTGAGGCCGGTTCGGCTACTAATTAAGGTTGAAAATTGGAATTGATGGAGCACAATATGGTGTACTTGTTGCATTCGATCAACTTGTGGAACACGTTGACGCTGTATGAGTTCTTAGTTTACACAACTGCTTACCATATGCCTTAGATATACGGAAGAGTCTGCCCGCAGAGTTGCCCAACATACGTGCTGATGGATGTCATTTACCTGAGGACGGGACCGTAATGAATAATTTCTCAGATCGTCAGCGCAAACGCTCACTCCCATCGACCCCACCCCCCTCCATTTAACCTCACAGTCCGAGGATAGGGTCCCTCTGCAAGATAAGTTCCGTGATCTCAGCTGGCTTCTGATCCACGCGTACCTCCCGAATAATGTTTTGTCGATCATCCAAACAGAGAAGACGTAACAGCCCAGACCGAAAAGCCTCTTGATCAGCAATGACAATATATGCCGCTATGTTGATATCACGTAGACGGTTCTCTGACTCCTCAGGTATCTTCCTCCGCTTGTCTGTACACTCATGGGCGGCCTTTTGTTCCTTCGTGGGTGGATTCCTTTTTAACGATGCTCGAAAACAGTGTAGTTCTCTTGAAGGAGCGAATCGTTGAGTACGATCAACGAAACTGGCTACCTCGGGCACTATTTCGTATACCCGCTGCCAATTTGAGCCGAAATTGAACAGGTGTGGATCGTTGAGACATGCCCACCAGGAGTTGTCCTCGAACAGATCGGTTTCGTAGACCCATTCGTTCACTTTGCCATCATCTTCCGGGTCATAATGGGTCCGAAGAAAAACAAGCACGCTATCCTTGGACATATAGTATGCCTTCCGACGAATGACGTTATCGGATCGCCAGGGGTGAAGAATAAGACTAATCTCCTCTGGCGTGGGCACTCGTGGAGGGCGCTCATCAAGAAGAAATTCTTCGGTGATCTCATCACGTTCAAGAAATCTATAAATTAGTCGCCGCCGCTGCTGGCTGGGTGCGTCGGTTGAGGAGTGATTCCAGTTTTTCTATTGAGGGGTTAACACACGGTCAGTGTAAATGGGGAAAGTGCGTATCATACAATCAAATATTGTTCGACAGGTAGCGATCCCCATGGAGGAATCGTTTCCCATAAAGGAAATTCCTCGCCGGCCATATTTTGATTTTATTAAGTGTGTGCCTTTAATGGAGATATCCCATCGCTAAGTTGTCTTCTTACACACAAGCGCAAACGAAGAGTCTGGCGGGTGTAAGTGTGGGGTACAAGACAGCCGAATCACGGTAATACTATCCGACAAATTAGAATGGCCCGGCTGTTTCATCAGATCCACTGATAGGCGGTGCGAATCACATCAGAATGATATCAACCCTTGGTCCTATCAAGCTAGCACCAAACACAGATATGCTTAGTCGTGGCATTCTGCATATCGCCTGTTGAGAGAAGTCACACGTAAACACAAAACAGTTACATTTTAATAAAACTGTAACAGACGTAAAATGAAGTGCTGGAGGTAATTTGAGGTAGTCAACGCTTTTCGTAGCGGTTAGCCGTAGCCTTGTTATGATCTTTCACTTGTTTCGATTCAACATCGGGGTTAAGTTCTCCACTCTCAGTATTTGGTCCTTGACGGTGCGCTTTGAGACTATAGTATTTCTCATGCCCTTTTGTTATTCCAGCTGCGGCAGGAGAGGGCTTGGGCGATTCTATGTATTTGAATTGCAGATCTTCGTCAGGTACGTGGACTCCAATGCGACTGCGTAATTCCAGACAAGAAGAGCGAGATATATCTTACCTTCCTGGGTCTTTGAACCGTCCCTGCTTAGATCGGCATTTGGTGCTTCTGTTCCATTATTTGTAGAGCCTTTTGTCTGTGTCGCTAGACCTTCGGACCTGGTTTGGAATAACTTGGTCTGATTCCCAGAAAGAACCAAGTCACGTAGATGGCGGTAGAGACTGATCAAAGGGCCTGTTTGTGCGCCCGGGGTAAGTCTCACATGGCGAAAGTTCTGCATTGTCAGATGGGAAGAAAGTGGATTGTATACTTAAGGATCTATAAGACCTTGGATTATCTGTGCCAAATCTTGTGGTTAAATACCTGTAGGTCGGCTAACCGTGCTGACGACGTCTTTTACACCCTGGTAACCAATATTATTGTATATGCGCTTTCCCGAGCCTGGACATGCCCATTTCTACGATTTTTCGCCACCAATAACATGTGAGTCATTGTTAGCAACTAATGGCTAACGACTGTTCAATCTAATACACCCAGTGTCTGACCATTAAACAAACTATATCAAGCAGAGAGAGGCGATCTACATACGACCACCTCAATAGCCGGCATGCCTAGAGGCTGGTTGCATATGACTCCAAGGTCGTGGAGCTTGAAGAGTAAATCAATTGACTCCGTCCATGTGGTGGCTTACGCTACACAAATGACGGTAGCATGACGAAATGACGCCCATGTCACAATGTAATGCTCATAATTCATTCCGGTAAATACAATTTCCATATTTGCACATCGTTGAATATTATAACTGACTATCGTCGGAGTCAACTGCCGAACAACATTCGACATCAGTATATCACCATTCTCAACTCCAAAGGCATTTTTGATCCTATGAGCGGTCACAAGACGTGAGTGGGCTACCTAGCATAAGGCTGGTTGTGGATGGGAAACGCTAAGATCAGAGTTTCCAATGACAGATCGTTGAACAACTCGAACGTCTCAGATGAGGGGAAGGGACGCACTCAAGCTGTTCTTGATCAAGATGTTGTTGGTGACCATCCCCACGAAGAGCTATACAACGCTGGAGGTGATCAAAACAAAGATTTGACCAGATTTACTGCTGGGCTTAGAGCGTGAGTGGTGAAATCAAGGAAGAAGGCTACAATGATGTAGTATGGTTAATAATACGGGTTTACTCTAGTACCCAGAATAACCCTGTTGGAATCAACAAGGAAAAGACGAAGGCATATGAGGAATTGATCCGAAAGGGTGGTGAAACTCCCGAAGGATGATGAGGTGTACATCTCACTAGTTCTGAAACTGACGAAGCAAATTCGATGGTTTGCTGCTTGAATATTGCGAGACCTGCTCTGCAACTCCTAAACTTAGCTATGAAATTGACCAGTTGGGTTCCAGAAAATGGTAACGATGCCCGGCCTGATAAACTAATATCGGATGTGTCGATTATATGAGAGGCCATAAATATGGCTTATTCAGCCAGGATCATTCTTGTGAATTTACACCGCTACATGGACCCCGCATGACATGGAGCATACGGACTAATGAGGTCCTCTGCACAGCGCTCAGATGTAGCAGATGAGATTTGTCTCAGAGTGGATCGTTCCAGACCATTGATGCATAGTCGACTACTAGCGTGATGCACGCCTAGTAGAGCTGCCGCATCCGCTCCAGGCGTAGATGCCGTAGTCCACCGGAGGCGACCGTCACCTTTGTTTTCTCGCTTGATGGCTTGTTGGACGCATTCCTTCCACCTTGAATTGGCAAGTCAGATCACCTTCATCGCGAAAAGCTTAAGCTTTGTGAGCACTACGCCCCTTGCATCCCAAACTATTTTGGGATCAAGTCCTAAACTTAATAGGTTGCCTGATTTGTGCAGCCCAAGCGTGAGGTTGCTACAGATGCTGCTTTAGTCTCTCTGGATATAAATGCTTCAAACGAGCTTTCAAAATGATACATTCAAAGAAAGAATTTTCTGCTACGATAACCCATAATTCATTATCGTGCTCTCTACGTCAACATCATGGACCTGTCTTATGTCAAAGCCCCGGCCAACACTGGAGTAAGTGAAACTGAACAGCTCATAGAACTGAAGACTAACGAAGCTGACCATAACCAAAGACATTGGTGTCCGTGATCTTCGCGATGCGATTCCAAGTCATTGCTTTCGCCCATCCTACATTATCTCATTCTTCTACTTGCTGAGGGATATCCTCGGTGTTGTGGCACTGGCAACCTTGGCCGTATTCACAATCCCTCAAATTAAAAACCCTTACTTCTACGCCATATCATGGTGTCTCTATGGCTTTATCCAAGGACTTTTCGGTACAGGGTTGTGGGTGCTAGCTCATGAATGTGGCCATGGAGGTTTCTCCCCAAGCTAGAGGCTTAACGATATGATTGGCTGGTCTATCCATTCAATGCTACTAACGCCATACTTCTCTTGGAAGTCGACACACCGCCGGCATCATATGTACGCAAATCATATGGAAAGAGATCATCACTACGTCCCATACCGCCGCGATGCATATGCCGCCAAATTGGGGGCGGACAAGAGCAAATTAGAGGACTTGGCGGCTGATACTCCCGTGGCCACTACACTCCGAATAATTATTCAACAGGTCTTTGGGTAGCCCTGGTATATCCTCTTTAACCTGACTTCGGGCCCAGAGAGCATGCACCCAAGGAAGCCTGGATGATGGTGGCAGAATAGCCATTTCGATCCCACCAGCTCATTGTTTAGCCCTGGTGATATTTCGTCTGTAGTGATAACAGATGTCGGTATAGCTTTGACTGTGAGTGGAGTGTGGTATTTAGGTGAAATGTTCGGGTCTAAAACCATCATCCTGCTCTATGTCATTCCTTGGCTCTGGGTGAACAATTGGATAGGTAAACAAAAGATCTCTGCATGTATTTGGATTACATCAGCAATACTCACAATCCCTAAGTTAGTCGCCATCACATATCTTCATCATACCCACCCGTCCCTGCCTAAGTATGAGCAATATTCGTGGAATTTCTTGAAAGGAGCTCTTGCCACAGTTGACCGCGACTTTGGCTGGATTGGCAGATTCTTCTTCCATAACATTATTGATTTCCACGTGATTCACCATTTATTTTCGTAAGTCGAACTTCTGTGGAGTATCCCCTACATTCTTTTAAGTTAACGTCTGCTTTGTTACAGTCAAATTCCGTTTTATCATGCGGAAGAAGCCACAAAGGCTATCATTCCCCTTCTAGGCTGTCGATATCATCAAGATAAAGCCTCTTCTTTTGTTGGAGGACTTTGGCAGGCGTTCACTGAGTGTCAATGGGTTGAGCCCGAACAAGGGAAGCACAATATAAATGGAGAATTATGGTTCCAGAAAGGACCGTCTCCAGCCCCAGAGTATAAGATGCGAAATTGGAAAGACCTCACATCTGCAGGATACAAAGTTTGGATGTGATCTTCAAGGATAGCTACTGGATGGCAGGAGCTTACAACCCACAAGTAAATGCGAAGCATCTATTGACGCTTCATCCTAGGTCATTATTGATTGGGCCATCTCAATTGCCATCACCTTTTGAACCGGGAGCGTCTTGCTGCGGCCAGCCTTGATGTGGGTTTTCTCCTACAGTTTTAGGTTTCCCTACATTTACCTGCAAATGCAAAGGCCGTATCATCAGTTTCAGATGAACCTTGGGTTTATTGAGTGATTACACCATGAAAGACCGGCGTTGCGCCGTGAGTGTACGTAAGGAACTCGCTCCACCGAAAACGTACCTAGCAACTTCCCGAGACTTCTTTGATCTTCAAGCCTGAGTGTCGGAAATGACCTCCACCAACATCGTCTTTTGCACCGACCACGTCAACACTATCACATCCAGATTCATCAACCTAAACTAGCTAATACGACTAAAACTCCAATAGATTGTGCAAATACCATTATCGCAAATCGGCATTTCGCTCTCTAACTTGTTGCCGCGTGGTCTTTTTCGACCATCCTTTGGCAACAAGAGCTCTTCTCATGCTGGAGATTATAAGTAGGGTGTGGAACTCATCACAGGGGAAAACTGCAATCTCATCAAGGTATAGACCGGGGTTTTCAGACAGGTGCTCGCAGAGCGCTTCGATCATCAGTGGTGTCACGGTCCGTTTTCGTCCTATTCGAGTGGGGGGTGCTTAGACACTTCCAAATCGCCGAAATTCTGTGCGAATATTTATAATCGTAGCCTGGCTGCATTCAGCTTCTGCGGCCATTTGGGATGTGGTAAGTGACTGGCTCTGTACTGTATCATATCACGAATAAGATGCAGCTTTGACGGGGGAAGTCTCGGAGCCATTTTGTCAGGCCTCATGTGAAGTTAAAGAGTGATGGATGAGTGAAGAGGCCTCTTGCTCGGGGTGGACAGGAAGGAAGGAGGGACACAGAAATACCATGTGTATGGCATTCTCGTGTAAAATACATAAGACGCGGTCACACCCACGTTATGTAAAAACAGTCTCTATTCTTGGAAAGAGAGGATCGCACGCCATACCGAATAGAGACTAGCGTGTTTCAGATCGGGGTTTGGGAACTAACTCGTGAGAGTGTAGAGTTAAAATTGATTTCGAATATGACTGTACTGGAGCGTGCGAGTCACTTGCACTCCAGGTCGCATCGTTTCGAGGTTAAGCGAGGTTGGACATGCCGTTTGACCGAAGTGCAGATTTCAGCGACAAGAACGCAAAACTCAGCCCTCAGTAGCGAACTTTTCTCTTTTTGATTATGAAGACCATTCGCAGATTTGTGCGAGCCATGGAAATCGCTTCCAAACAGTATCCCGATTGGTTCTCTATCGAATAAAGGAGGCTCAAGTGAACCCAAGTAACGATCTGAATGTGAGGAACTACACTACGTTGACTCGTTAATTACTCTCACGGTGGTCGAGAACACAGGAGTCAAACCCACCTGAATGAGATTACCCAGGCTTGACCACTGGCAGATGATGGCGGTCGTTTAGACTAAGAATCATTGTCTGGTCACCGGACGGAACATGCCACAGCAGATGACGGAGTTAGGAACTAAATCACTTCATGCTCAACCTATCTCGAGAAGTACTCAAATTTGACCACCCATCACCTTTACCTGAAGCGAACCAAGGTTAGTTACCAGGATCCGATCAACCTCAATTCAACACTCCACTGCCCTCGTCTTGAGGGCTTTTTCGTGTTCAACGCTCTTGTTTTCCATATTGTCCCCATTATCAAGATCTCTTCATCAATTGAACGCTCTAGTGCGAAATATCTTTGTTATCAACCCTTTTGTTCAAAACGCTTCCTCGATTTAACGCTGCCTTCATATTAAATGCTCTCATCAATGCTCTCCCCGTACAAAGTGCTCTCCTCTTTTTGAATGTCCTCCTCAATTCAAACCCTTAATCTTTAGAGTCAATCAAGATAAGGCGTCAGTTATTCCCGACTTCAGCAGCCCCGACTTCAACAACCTTGCGCTTTCGAGACCCTAAAGCTCGACTACCTCCAATTTTAACGCATTCATTATAACAGCTTCGGTGGCTGAGAGAGCTCATTTCTTCCATCAGGGATGACCGTGCTCAAACCCCTGTTAATATTCAACGGTTATAGTCCCCATCATTTGAATGTCATGTGCTCAAAAGCAGCCATCGGAAACTAAATCTTCAGTCATTATGACCAGTATTCTCGCCTTCCGAAAACATTCATCTCAACTATGCAATTACTAGAACGGATACTTGGACGACATGTTCATCTGGTAGACTTTTGCCCAATGAAGTAGCTACCATGTCGAACCTATAGGTTGCAATAGGATGTATGCAGAATTGACCTTTTTAATTTAGAGGTTTAATAGATTTGACTCATTGGTTGACGGATAGCCGTGACTTGAATCATCAGAGGTTAGGGCAACCATAAGGCAGTCCAACTTTTTTACCATACCATAGCCGTCAGAGGGGTTAGGTTTAGCACCAAGCTTAAGTACGCGATAGTATATTTCATGCAACCATAACGAACAGCCAGATGATGAGGAGGTTCAGATATATTTCCTCAGATGTTGAAAGCTGACAATGAAGGGCCGACTGGGCAAGGTCATCAGGAAGTAAGGCATCCAAGCCATGTCGGCATTACCTTACGAATACTGCATGGGACCGGATCTATAGATGATCCGACTGCATAGCTTATGTAATTAGAATGGAGCCATAATAACGTATTTCACATGCGAGTGGATCAGCTATCCCAACCTCCCAATTTTAAATGCATTTATCTCAACCAAAACGCCATTAAATTCAATAAGCTAAAAACGATTTCTATTAGGACATGTAGTCAATTTATGACCCTGAATTCCACATATACTGCACTTCGGTAAGGCCCTCGTACGTGGTTGTGAAGGTGCAGGAGCCGATTCTGCCTCACGGGGTATTGGTGCTATAATTGCTTGCTCCGGCTGTATTGCTAATGTAGAGGCCTCTAAAACTGAGAGGCCTTCTTCGGAAGCTATTTGCCTTTTAGACCTAGTCCTTTTTCGCTTCTTCGTCTCGTTTGCAGCGCGTAATTCGCTAACTTCTTTCTCGAGCAAAGCTGCCGATTGCATCGTAATTTGGTAGGCCTTTAAAACCTGATTTATCGCGGAGTTAAGCGGGCTTGGTGGGCTTTGTGAGCGCTGTTTTAGCAAAGCTTTAATTGAGGAAGCTTGCTTTTGTAATTGTACGTAGTTCGAAGGCGTTTTTGGATCCCACTCACTCCCCTGGCTCGAGCGGGGTGTCGGGGTTCGAAGGCGAATATCGAGCTTTAAGATCACTTGATCGGGGCTATAAGGCATTAAACCGGCGGCGGCGAAGCTAGTCTTAATAGTCTCCGATTTAAATGCCTCAATTCGCGCGGACGGGTAGGCTTCGAGGAAGTCTAGCTTATCAATGTGATTGATTCTAGCACGCGTTTTCGATTCGATAATCCGAGCGTAAGCACGTTTTAACACCGCAAAACAGCCGATATCGAGGGGCTGTAAAAGGTGAGACGAATGCGGAGGCATACAAATTGGAATAATATCGTTCTTTTCGTAAATTTCGTCGAATTTTGGAGTTAAATGACTTCCGTGGCCGTCGAGTATCAAAAGTCTATACTTCCCCTTCGTACGCGAAGAAGTAGACGGAATAAAGAGCTTTTCGAGCCACCGAACGCTAATTTCATCGGACGTCCACCCGTTCGGACTAACCTCGAGTCTCCAATTATTCGGAAGGCCGTCGAACCAAGATTCGATAAAGACTTTGCCCTTAAAAATCACGCAAGGAGGAAGCGCCCACCCCGAAGCATTTATACACTCAATTGTAGTCACCCACGCGCGATTTCCGGGCTGTAAAAGCGGTCGCCGACCGTAGTATTCCCTCCTCGTAATAACCTTCGCGGTCGCGATCAAGCCCATTGCGAATCCAGTCTCGTCAAAGTTATAGATATCATCGGGATCGATACCGTAAGAAAGGATCGTTTTTTGGACGAGAGAAAACCATTCGTGGATAATTTTAGGGTCTTCGCACTTTGCATGCTCGTAATTATATCCTTTTGAGAATCGGGAGGAAAGGTTTGGATGCCTTTTTACGAAGTTTGTAACCCAATTCTCACCGACCGAAATAACCGGGGTAGATCCACGCGCCGCGAGAAATAAATCTGCCATTTCTCGTACAGAAGAGGGCCGAGGGGGTGCTCCGCGAGAATCCATAGAGAGAATCCATTTTTGAAGAGATTCCTCCTCAATTTCTGTCAATTTCTGGCAATTTGGGCGAGTTTCGGAGCGATTTGTGAGGCCATTAAGCCGGTTCCGTAAAGAGGAGAAGGGTACTTCAAAATGACGTGATGCTTCGCGTATAGAGCTAATTTCTTGCTTCTTAATAGCCTGGATAGCTAATAAGATCCTACCCTCCTGCTCTACTAAATTTCGAGAGGATTGAGTACGAATTGGTGGCATGGTGGGTGGTTAAAGAAGAAAGGTCTAATTAATGACGCATTTTTCGCGTCGCTGATCCACTCGGTTGTGTGATCCACTCGCATGTGAAATACGTTAAGTTAACTTAGCGAGAAATAGGGGTAATGAAATACAGAGTCATTGATATCTCCAATTGGCCGGATACAGTATGGGAGTTGACAAGCCAGCATCAACAAGGCACTGTATTCGAAGCCCGCAAATCGTGCGACTGCCCCGTTGAGTCCAACCACAACCTAGCTCATCCTTTGGACAGTATGCCAATGCTCATAGTCAATCTGCTGCTTTGACCAAGGCAGTCGAGACTATCTATGTTCCTCTTGAACCTGCTGTAATGAGGCCAATTTTTGAGAGGCAAACTTGATGACATCATCTGTCGGGGTCGTACTCGACGTCAGCGTCGGCAGGGTAGAGTCAAACCCCCAGAAATCGTCAACGTTACGAGCAGCTGTCTCTTTTTTCTCACGTGACTCGAGGGTGCTCATTGTGTATTCTGGATTCGGAGCTTTTAACGATATGTTAAGCACATGTGATTTGGACCGCTTGGTTCGAGGAGCAGGTGGTTCACAACTCGGCGTGTCCCCGCTTAGCTCTGTTAAGGAATCGCACTTTTTATTGCACTGGGAGTGGCCCAGTGGTGGATTTGACCAAGATTCTGGAACAGAATCGAAACCCCAAAAGTCATCTTCCATTTTGTACTGTGATTAAAGGGCGGCGGCAGGGATGTGAAATGGTTTCGTTAGGCGGGCTGTTAAATGAGCGCGAATTGGGGTCTGCATCACATTTAAAGTCGAAATGTGGATACTTTGGTAGCCTGAGTATGATACCGTTAGAATGAACGGGGGAGGTCACGTTTGAAAGTGCAGAAAAGAGACTGCATTATTCATCATTAGTAAATTGGGTAGGATATATATCCTGTTGTTAATCATGTCCGTATAGATAAGCGTCATTTGCGGAAAATGCAGCCGGCAGCTAAGTGGTTGGAATGATTTATGCCGTCACGTCATGCATGGGTAAAGAAAGAGTGAGTCTAGAAAAACCATGATACTTCAATAACCGGATCTTCGCATCAAGTCAATGTTAATCAAGAGTAATTTGTGGATCTCTCCTGAATGTCGACTATTGAAGCACAATACCTTTGTCTAGGATGGAAGGCACACGGAAATTCGGCCCAGACTGGCAGCAAGTGTACGACATCATGCCTGAGGTCACTGGCCCCGTTGATCACAGGCGATGTTCTGATGGTCCAGGCAAAACCCAATCCTTTCGAGCATCGCCCGAAAAGAACCAGGAAGGCCTCCATGACAGGAGAGATGATCGGTCCAAGATGACTGTAGAGTTGGTGAACCATCTACAGAACGTCACCATAATAGCATATATTGTTATTGCGGATCAAGAGGCTTTTCAGACTGGACGGTTACGGCTACTCTGTTTGGATGCTAAACGAAACATTGTCCGGGAGGTTCGCGTTGATCGGAAGCCAGCTGAGATCATGCAACTTATTCGCCACTCGATCCCAATATTCGGACCTTGAGGCGGATTCATTTTCTTAGAGAACTTATCGTCAATGGAAGTTTGGAGCAATTTCATACTAATTGACTGCGAAAGATTTTGCGGGCCACTACTTTGAAAAGAATCTCTGTAGGCAAGCAAAATTTCGCCGTAGATTGAAACGACAGCTTTCAAGGAAGCCACATGGTGAGGATCAGATTGCGTGGGAAGTGGGGAAGTCTCTTCTGTTGGTCGCAATTCCCCGGGTAACTCAACCGTCCACTCGATTCGAATCATCTGCATAAATTGCGGGGAACAGTGGATTCCACTACGGCTCATGCCAAGCCTTTGGCAATTGAATTTTTTATGGTGTTTTGATCGTTTCTAGCATGCAGAGTCTGCGCCTCTCATAGAGATTACACCATGCTTTATGATCCAGTTTTGCCCAAATTATCATTCCGATATTCTTCATTTGTTTACTGACCTTCTCTGCAACCCAAGTTTCGCTTCTTTGTTGACTCTATGGCACGATTTGTACGATTCCCGGTCTTTGGTGGAGCATTCGAAACCCCAACGAGGTAAGGACTGCCCGATAATATTTTATTCCTACTTTGCCCGTAAAAACCACATATTAATATTTCCTGGAATTTAGGTATACTGAGCTAGAGCCTTTGAATACTGGTGTTTCTTGTCTAGTATGGTTGGTCTAAATACCTGAGCGTGAGCAAATATGAAGGTCCGATATTAGGCTGACAGGCTATGCACGAATGCAGTTCTGCAAGGGACCAGATTGGCCATCAATTCGTGGCAATAAAAAAGATATCAGATCCGTTTGGGACTGCAAGCAACGCGCAACACACATTTAGGGAGATTAAATTGTTGAAACACTTGAGACATGACAACGTGCGTGGTCCGAGAAGCAATTTGAAGGGATAAACTTGACGAAGAACAGATTATCAACCTGGTCGATATTTTCATATCTCCCTCTGAAGATATGTATGTCACCTTACACTTTTACTGTTAGGTCTATCTGTTTGACTTGTGTAGCTACCTTGTCATGGACCTCATGCCATCCGATCTTCAGACACTCTTGAAGGCGAAGCCGATTGAGAGCGAATTTGTTCAGTTTTTCCTATACCAGATGATGGTCAGGCTACTTGTAATTATTTGCGAGTACCTGTTGCTAACCAGATACTCAGCGCGGCCTGAAGTATATTCATTCGGCTGGTGTGGTTCACCGTGACCTTGCGCCATGGAACATTTTGATCAATGAAAATTGCGACGTCAAGATTTGCGATTTTGGGCTGGCGCGAGTTCAAGAACCCCACATGACGGGCAACGTTCCAACCAGCTGTTACCGGGCCCCGGAGATCATCCTTGCGTGGCAAAGCTATGACGAACAGGTTGACATTTGGAGTGCAGGGTGCATCTTTGCCGAAATGCTGCGAGGGAAACCGCTTTTTCCTGGGCAGGGCCATGCCCACCAGTTTTGTGTTATCACAGAAGTGCTTGGCACACCCCCCAGAGATGTCATAGCCAAGATAACCACCCCGAATGTTAGTAAGATAGCAGCATGTGTGCGACAGCAGCAATGAATCCCAAGGAAATGCGCAATGAAACAATTGTTCCCATTTTCCCCTGCTGACTTGTGGTTGTATGGCAGACACTGAGTTTCATCGAGTCGCTTCCGAAGCGTGAGGCCAAGCCGCTGTCGGATTTTCTTCCAAGTGCTGGTCTCAAAGGTAAGAGTCTGTAACACGATTCGTTTTTAATGTGTTAATTTTGGCAGCAATCGACCTCCTTGAAAGGACATTGGTTTTTGATCCGCACGGGCGTATCTCCGCTTCCGAGGCTCTAGCCTCTCCGTATCTTGCGCCTTATCATGACCCCACAGATGAACCGGTCGCTGAAGAAACATTCGATTGGACCTTCAATGAATTGGATCTCTCAGACGATGCGTGGAAATCTGAATTGTATGTGTGGATTCTATCCGGGTCTAACAGTGCCACTAATTGTGAAACAGGTACGCCGATGTCCTAGAATACTATGAGAAAAAGGAACTCCAGGAGTCTGTGAAACGGTGGATACTCACCAGCCAATGACGTTAGACTGAATCATTAAGAGTCTATCACGACTTCATTCTACTTGCTCCCCATAGTTGATCATGTCATAGATAAGCTCATCCTTTGAAAGGGCTGGAGTTGACACCGTCTCGGTTCGACCACACGTGATTGGTGTTAAGATACGTACGACGTCCCTTGAAGGCGGGCACGGGTCTACCGGGGTATGGAGGTGTTGGTGTATTTGGTTTACAAGTGAATACAGAGCCATGTAATATACGTGAGAAGTAAAACACAACCATCTGATAGGGATATTCCGGATAATTAAAACATAGACTAATGTGTCTTGGCGTTGGGACTAGGGAATAAATTGAAGAGTGTAGGTGGTCGCACCAATTTCGGGGCGTACTGTAACATGTTAATTGTAATTATCCTTTCGTCCATTTTCTCATTCGCCATATCACCATATTCTCAGGAACTCGGGTCGTTTACCACCCTCTATGTTTACAAGGCATCAAATCATGTGAGGGACTACGCCGGGAGAAACAGCTGTTCCTTGACTCTAGAAGATGTTGCGCAAGAAAGTATAGGAAAGGGGCCTCCTCACGTTCTAGAGAACACAATGTGGGCCACTCGTAGCGCATGTCCTCCACTCCTCATGTATGTCCGTGAGACATTTATAGCGAATAAACTCTGTTCCTGGGAGCCTGCAGTGCGCCATTGGGGTTCAAGGAACAATCGAAGTGAAGGTGGTCGCACCAGTTTTGGGACGTACTGTATGACCCAAACAATAAGACAAACTTCAATCCGTGACGGACAGTTGACTTCGAGAGAAAGAGAAGCCCGGGGTGAAAATTAACCGAAGAAGTACGGTAAGTTGAAGGAGAGTGATGAATCGAGGGAGAGTGATGAATTGAGAGATGACATCGGCGAACAAGCGGATTCAACGTTTTAGTTGGCCATATCCGAGGCAGACTTCACTGAAGATTCGCCATGTTAAACGTGACGAAGAGTACGATAACTTTCCAAACATTATACCATCTTACATGTACGCCTTATGTGTTGTGTTATTTTATGGTATGTAGCATGTCAGACTTCCATGACGTAGCTTCCCGACACACCGCGCTCCTCATTACCTCAAACTGATTTGGCGACACCAACACCGCCTTAATAACGAGTCAAGATTTGGAAGGTTTAGAAGGAAGACAATGGGTGGTTCCGCGCCGCTATACGTATACAAAATTGTTCCGTCTTCTTGTCCTGTTCGAGAACCACTTCCCGAGCGACTTCCAGTCAGCGATATCGATCAAAGTTCAGGATTTATTCACCTCTTAACGGCGCTGCAAGTACCGAGTGCGATCAAAGCTATTCATGAAAGGGAGCCAATGGTATATGTCTTACGGATCCCGTACGATAAAGTTATAAAAGACATTCGTTGGGAGACAGCGGATGGTGCATTGAGCGAGGCTCTGCCAAAAGACGAACTGTGTCCAGTAAGTATCCGACAGCATGTCTCACCTTGGGGTTCAAGTTTCTGTTTTTCAGGTATTATATGAGCTGACCAATGGAGAAGCATTTGTACAATGGGCTCAACCTAGGGCGAGACGACGTCGAGAGTATGGCCGTGTGGATAAACGAGCATGGATGGGAGAAGGTTTTACTGCAGGCAGGCCCGTGGCTTTTGAATTGAAGATGGGGGCTGTCCACGCATCTGATTGTCGTACTTCTTTCGCTACCAGTTTATTCCGTTGCTCTTGGTGAAGCTGAGCTTTTTCCCCCACGTTATTCATCCTTGTATCTTCCAACATGAATGTTGTTGCCCTCCCATGACAAGCCATAGCCATATCGAATTACGAGTTGACATGTGTTGTTGATGTATAAATTAATAATTGCAAATGTTACCGCTGCAACCGCAAATATACCGTACAACACGAGATCGGGGAGACCGACTAGGATTGCACTATACTCAGACAAACTGCTTGTAACCCAGAAAAAGGCATGTCTCTGTTTACTTATTTCGCTATTGATCTCCCAAGTTGATACTCGACAGCTGGTACTGTGGGGCTCAATGTGCCCGACATGGTGGGATGCTGACCGAAGAATCGATAACATAAAAGAAGAGCAGTTCGAGTAGAATGATAGCTTACTACCGTTTTGGTGCAAGGCTTCTCTAGTTGGAAAACAAAATTATTCTGACAGCCTAACACCGGCTGCATAAACTGGCTCAGCTGGCTCAGCTCCAGCCATCCGGGATTCTTGGTTATTTAGTGGAGGATACTAATTGCGTCTTGCGGGCCTTCAGGCCGGGAAAAACAATGACAAGAAGTCAACGCCACCCCTGGCCCAGGAGTATTCCGCAGCTCAAACGTGGATGGTGATTTGTATTGAAAAGACTGTTCAGCGCGTGTCGCCGTCGTTCCATGTTGGATATCAGCGGCATTCAGCCCGGTTCAGCTACGACTGGAGAGTGTTGGTCATTGTTCGTCCGACCCCTCAACCAATGCTTCCGAAGGTTCAAAATTCTCTTACGAGCCGCAAGTTGATGACATGTGGCAATTGCGAAACGCGAGTCCCCATTTCTCGAGTCGCAAACACAAAGCCAAACACACTCTTTCCCCACCCCCCCTCCTCCCCGCCTCCCAACCTCCCGCTACTAATCGCCGCATAGCTTGAGCATGTGAAAAATGCCGCGAGCGAAAGGCGAACCCACTTTCTATCATAGCAGTGATCAAAGCAGAAACAAGGCTGCCGCTATTGAAACAAAATATAGACGAGGAGATGTAGCCCTATGTGTATACGTTTGCCACATCCACAAAATTGACAAACATGGAATCAGGGTAAACGTTCAAATTGGGGGTCACAAGACCATTGGAGACCTTGGAGAAGAGCGTCCAAACAAGTGTACTGTATTGGTCATCGACCGTCTTGCCTGCGGTGCCAGGAGCTCAATGTCCCTTGTGTCTACGTGGATGACAAACGAGAGAGAATGCGTAGTATGTTCTTTTTCTTCCGGATCTTATTGCGGCACATAGTACTTACTAGGGTATTTAGACAGATGACCAACCAACTTGAACATTATGAATCTCTCAAGCGCGATATCTATCCAAAGTTTTACCTTGAGGTGGCCAAAATTGTCGACCAAGCCCTCGGAACATGTGCGAGAATGCGCAATTCATTGAAGACAGTAACTCGAATCCTGAGAGAAAGTCTCCGATTAACCGAGCGATACTCACACAATCCATAGATCTCAAGTCTTTCCCTGTCGTCACCCACCTCCGCCACAATCTTAGGAAATATAGCCACGCCACCTTCCACATTCTCGTTCGAGGATCACACACTTGGATATTTAAATGGGACAGCTCGCTGCAAGAGATTGGATTTGTTGGGGGAGCATTCGACAACGGCGTGGCTATACAGGCTGAGGTGTCGAATGAGGCGACAAATTTGAACACAGACAACCAATTCGAGCAACCTACAGACCCATCAATCTCTTCTTGTGGCTTCTTTATTGATGAGACCCAGATATCACTTGGAAATGATACTGGCACATACGCGTATCCCACACAAGCCGTCGCCGATGAACTCGTCGAAAGATACTTCAAAAGTTACGCATCCTCCCTTCCTATTGTTGGCAACGAGATATTCCTCGGCCAATGTCGGTCTTTCTATTCGAACGATACAGCCCGGGAATAAGTGGATGGGGCTTTTGAACATGGTGTTTGCGATCGCTGCGAAACATTCCAAATTTGCAGGAGACCAACGCCGGCTCGATCACAACGACCTGAGCGAACGTTTAAGACATTAGGCTTCTCAGCGGGAAATGCCCCAGCAGTCACCACCCCATCAGCAGCTACAGGCCAATGTCTCCTTGTACTTATTTTATGCGATCAACCTGGCAGCTATGATGAGAGAGGCAACTGAGATATCGTAGTCTCCTGAAGCAGCAAGGAAGTCACAGAATTAGACCGAACAGGTGGTGAAGTCTCTCAACAACACAGCTGACCACTGGTTTTCTCGACTCTCCACAACTTATCGGTTTACGGAAATCGAAGCTGACCGTGTCTTTACCCGTCAACGCACGAGTTTGGCTTTTCAATACTACTCAACCAAACTCGTCATCACCCAACCTGCACTCCTCTCTCGTATCTGGGGTGAGGACCCTTCCAATGCTGTTTACCATCAAATGGCAACGGTTTGCATCAATGTAGCAGCGCAAATGGTGGATCTGTTGCCTGATGATCCAAGTATCACCTGGCTCTTGGACTATTCCCATTGATGGTGTGCCCTCCACTACCTTACGCAAAGCATGATAGTGATGATAACTCAGCTGGTCATTGAGAGCAAAGCGTGGGCTAATCATAGCACTACACCCTTGGAAAGAATCCAGAAGGCTCCGAGATGGTTGATTGAGTGATTTACAAGGGATCAATGTTTTAAACGGGCTTGGGATAACTTTGCGGACCTTTTGTCATCCCAAAGATTCAATGTTGGCTAGTATAACATTTTTCGTCCGTCTTCATCACTCACCCTCCCCTCTTTCACTTTCCTTTGAGCTCCTCATCTTGGCCCATAGAATAAGTTTACTAGCGTTTCTCTGGTGATCGCTTATTGATCAAACTACTTGCCAATAAATGCAACACGCTAGTCCCATTGCGTGCAACCCTCCTCTTTATGGCCCTTATCGTCCCATCACAAAAGGCCTGACTTCATCAAAGTGATCATCCATCCTGGTAAACTTGCTGCAATTAGTTGCGCCACAATGGAGCCTGCTACTTGATCTCCCAATCGGCATTACCGTTCTATGCTAGATGCTTCTGGGAATACTCTGTCTACTCGTTCCCACGCATTCCTAATCAGGCTTTGGAGGACTACCAGTGCCAGGGAAATTGGATGAGTCTACTGGGAGATTTACCATATGTCCTGGGATAGGGGTTAACAGAGATGTATCGTCAGGATGTGGCTACAGAAAATTGCTTGTCTCACCAATATGCGCATGCATCAAGAGGCTTTTATGAGCAATCGTCATCTCTTTGTGAGGCCCCAAACATTTTGCTCTTCGGAGCCGGCCGCACGTTCCCCAAGAGCCCGCCAAACCCAGGATAATTTTCAGGCACGCATAATCTATGTTGTTCGGGGCTTGATTTCGGTTTATATTTCTTATATCTGCTGTGGAACATGACTAGGTGATCGATTCTTGCCATTTTCAGCACAAATTGCCTTTCCACCTCGCCAGGTTGGTTGCAATAATAAAGCACAACAGGTCAATGTTGATGTCAACAGAGACAAATTGGACATCAAATTATAATGAGATCAACGTAACCCAGCGACCAATTGGCTGCATAGCTCTTTTGAATTAAGAAACAGGTAGGCCTAGGAGTCCGCAATGTCGTCATCCAGCCCCTCAGCGCCTCACGCCCTGTAACTACATCCTACATGCACTAACAGTGGACTGCCCAATACTGCTGCACTATCCAACAATCATAGGATCCGTCACGGCTCCCACTTAAGGTCGCAACAGTCTGCGTACTGTTTTAGTTTGCAGAATTACCGCAATGAGACGGGAGGTATTGGACGTATTCCCACCGCAACCTGAGCTCCGCGTCAGCATGCTGCCTGCTCAGCATCGGAAAAGAAGCAACGAGATTGTGCTGGCTCGGTACAGGAACTCAGATTTGCTAAAATTCGAAGAAACGGTCGAACCGTCATCAAGCTACCGGCAGCAATGCCTAGACTGGCTTCTACGTTCGACCATATAGAAACATGTGTTGTTTCGTCTGTTAATGGGTTAGAAGGAGCATAGCGGATATAGACGTAATTCAACTCACGAAGGAAGTCTGGTCTGCTCGCGTAATGCAGAAATGGGATACGAATGATGACAGCCGTGCTAGCTCTGCTCATTATCAGAACATGCACCAGATTAGGAGAGCAAGTAGAGCATACGAACATGCAAGCAAGCCCCAAAATTGCCATCACGACAAATTTCGTCCCACGATCCATTTGAAGCCGCCAGATAAGGAAAACAGGCAGAGAGCCAAGGATGAAGTCGCATGCCGCCGCCACCCCGCTATACATATAGACGATACCAAGGAGGATGTCTATGTCAAGACATTGGCCTTCCGTTGATAATCGACTCCAATAGTACGCGACTGGCCCACATTGAAAAATTGGGAAGAAAAGAAAAACGATTCCCACCACGGTCGAAATCCCCATAACACAGTAAAGAACCCACAAATGGATGCGCTCGAACGTGAGACGCAGAAGGGTGGTGGCAATAGATAGCCTGGCGATGGTGCAAGTAAATATGTAAAAAACCTGTCCTAGCCACCAACACTATCGGCCATAGCAGTCAACAAATACTACACACTAAAAGAGATGCTGTGCTTTACGAACACCTATCAACAAGCCGCGGTGAACATCGTCCGGTCGATGAGCTAAATACGCCTGCGCCTTTCCCATCCCAGACAAGGCGCCCACGATGCGGCACGTAGCGAATGCCATATTGAAGACCTGCGCGAAACTTGGCCTAATGACCGAGCAATTGAAGTATACCCTTCTCACGACACTTACTGCCGCGATTACCATCAACGCATCGTCGGATCCAAATGACTTCACGATTTTCAACCGAACAAAACAGCGAAGACAGACAGTGACTAGCGATAAACACAAGAAAACTGAAGTGGTGATAATGATGGCATTGCTGCCCCCATTTCCCATGGCCTTGAAAACCTAGGATGTGTCTGGGAGCATAGACTAGCTGTCGCTAAATGGTTAATGGCATTAGAAGGCTCTCATTAATTGACACGTAAGAGGGGAGGGTAAACGTCATCATTGACTGATTATGGTGTGTTCCCCACTAGCAAATCATATTGCAAGGGCCTAGCCACATCAAAGCAACCCCATTGGTTTTATACCTTCATTACGCAAACAAGATTTCTCCGCACTGGGGGCCTTAGAGGGTTATAGCCAACCAGAAACCTTGCACTGCAGTTTCACTCTATCTGCGCAGAACTTGGGAAATGTGGGATCAACTGCGCTGTGATTTTGACTCATATAACCAAGATAGGTATACGTAATAATGAACAACGCCAAACCTGTCAAATTTATAGTAATCTTCTTTTGAATATAGGCATACACTCTTTACTATTAAATAAGCTCCTGCTGGTGAGATATGAGGCTGTAAGATATTTTGATGTGGGGTTTCGGGCGGCGCGAACCCGGTTATGAAATATGTTAAACTTTTGCTTCAATCGATAATTGGGGTACTCAAATATGATTCCATCGGTCGCTTTGCTGGGTTCAAGACATATATCAAATAATTTATTAGCTCTTGGAAAGTATCGCTCCTATACTGTACTGCAACTCAAGCATGCTACATCAAAAGAAGATTTATCTCCAAGTAACTACAAGGTATGTACAGGGAGTAGTAGTAGTAAATTTCATTTAACCCGACCCCTCGCAAATCGATATACAGGGAACAGCAACTATATGTATCCATGTACGTACATGTACTTTGCACCAATTCCTGAGATCGAACCTAGAGCCTCGTCAAGGCCTGCCGTGACCTAATTGCCGTTCGCGTGGTTAGGCTGCCCCCGTGGCGCACGACTTTGAACCCGCTGCGATGCCTCGGCGAAGTCTAGCACAGCCTTGACCGTCCTAGCTCGCAAGACGGTGTCTGGTTTACCTCTCTTACCTTCGGTTGAGCCTCTCAGCAGACTTGACACGCTGTTAAACGCTTCCCCAGCTTCTCTTCTTAGTTCCCTCCGCAGATCCTTCAGCCTTGGACAGTCCACCAGCACATGGGTGATTGTTTCTTGCGCACCGCATACGCACTGGTTGTTGTCACAGAAGCCAACGGTCTTGCGGTAGGTGGATAACCAATTGTGGCCCGTGCGTAACTGGGTCAGCAGGTACACCTGGTTCCTGCGCAGACTCCCATACATCTTCCGTAAATGACCACCTTTAGCGGATGACATCCACTCTTGCTTCCACTGAGCAAAATGTTACTGAGGGTGAGCGCCCTGTCCCTAATGAGTAGAGGGCGGAAGGGATGGCTTTTGCCTGGGTACCTGGCGTCCTTGGCCAGTCGATCTGCAACATCGTTTCCCGGATTATTGCAATGCTCTGGCACCCATTGAAGGCGGAGCGCGATCCCCTCCGCTTGAACCTCAGCGGCCGCATGGAGGATCGCGTGGACTATCCGCTGTCCAGATTTGTTTTTCACAGAGGTCCGTAGAGCCGTCTCGTGTACTTGGCCGGCAGTGTGTTATCGATCTGACGCAGGTGGCGGGCAGAATGGATGTGTTTTGCTCGGTATGGCTGCCGCCCTGGCCAGCAGATCGGATCCCTGTCTGTGGGACCTGTATTGTTTCTTACTCGCAGTAACTAGAACACGAGCTTGACTTCCACCCCAGAGCACTTTGCGCTCGAGGGAGCCATTTCTGTGTACAAGCGTTCACAGATATGTGCAATCATGGTCTGTGCCTCGGGAAGTTGTTGGACCATATCGTCATCCACCAGGACCTTCAAGCCTTTACTATTGACCCAAATGATACGAGAGATAAGACAAGGGTCGATCTGCAGTTTCTCCGCAAGCTCGACTTTCAAGTTGAGAGAAGTGCGATCCGCTAGGTATATTGCGTAATAGTTGCCTTGGGGCTGCTTCCCGCTTTGAGTGAACTGGACGTAAAAGCACGCAACTGCGATAAAGTAAGCAAATGAAGAATAGAGTTTGCTTTATTGTGGTACGGACCAGACTTAGAAGAATGATTTGCAGGAGGTGGAGAGCCCTGGAAAGTCCCAATGGAGACTTTTGGCATTTTTGGCGGACGTTCTTGAGAGTCAGGGCTATAGAAGTCCAATTCTACGTTGGCCTTTTTTGACAAGTGAGCTGCTCCTTCGGAGGCCAAGGTTATAGCACGTGTGCTATGTTGATTTTCCAAGATCCCATCTTTCATGAAAGTACTTGATCCATCTGATAAACAGATAAGATGTAGATCTAGATCATCCTTCACATTAGCACGAAGACCAAGTACACTAACTGGACGGGCCGATGAAAAGATCTCAGTCGTTGTAGCCAGCGCGGCGTGAAGATCTTTATCTGACATAGAGCTTTTGCGCTTCTTCTGAGGCCGAGTATCGGTTTGTCCACCGTTCATCAAACTGTTGTGGCGTCTTCGTCTATCAAAGTCTGCACCTGTCTCTCGGTCGATGATTTGTTTATTGAGCTTTTCAATCCTTTTCTTGGCATGTGCCTTGTCATTTGATAATTTTCGTTCGGCACCGTGGTCTTTGAAGAGCTTCACCACACAGTAACACATTTCTGGCTCGTCCTCCATGGTCTTATTTTCGTCGTCCGACCGCAACATTTTAGTTTTTGCACAGAGCCTGACCGATACCCCTTTCACCCCTTTTAAGCGAGTAAAATCGGTTGATAGAAAGTTGAATTTCAGCGGAATCGCCGCCTCATAGACGTTCGTGGTTGGATCAGCTGTCCAGGTGACACAAAACCCATCAACAAAAGCTTCTTCAAGCTGTATCTGGGGATGTCCCTCAGTTTTGACATCGCCCTGGGAAGGATGGACATACTCGACAGCTAAAATCTTGCCTTTGCGCTCATGGGCTTCTTTCAGGCCTCGGCCTTCTTTCCATAGCTGCCACGATGCAACCGGATTTGATCTCTGGTCTTCTCCTTCGAAGACCACATGCACGAACGTTCTATATTCATAAAATCCAGCCTTCTTCGTGGGTGGGGTAGAATCTGCCACCGTGAGGCTGTATGTTTGACCTTTATTAAGGTATGTCACTGGGTTTTCGTTGGCATGCTGGAGCATTGCCGTCAGGGCTTGCAGTGTTACATTGTAACGAAATCTATGAAGAAAATTAGTAAGCAGTATATGCAGCGTGCGTTGGGCCTAGGCGTACTTTTCTCCATCGCCATATGGCCAGTGTCCGTTGACCTGTGCTTCGGATGTGGCCAAGTCAAAGTTTGAGTCTGGTTGTTCACTGAGACAATCGGTCAAAATATCTTGATCGGCTCCATCCAATGTGGCATATACAAGATCGTGGTGCGTGAGAGTCCTCGATATACCATCCGCCTGCCCATAATGCGTATTGTCATATAGCCAACGTTGAGACTCAGCTAGTGGAGTGAAGCAATCGGGCCCATTCCAAAATATCTGCGGAACGCGTTGGACAATTTTATCAAGAAGGGGCGAAATATTTGAGTTCCACTGAATCACTGGAGAGTGGAGGTCTCCTGCATTATTGTGAAAGACCGCGCCTGACCCTTGTAGATTGCGATCGTGGAATGTCTCGTGCTTATTGGCATTAACCATCGGAGAGAACGAACCAGGTGCATGGAATTTGCGGTGATTTGGGGAACCGCTCTCTCGCCTCACTGTTTGGCCAGTATTTGCCTCGTCTGTCCGCGTAACATCACTGGGCTCATTGTCATTGGGATAGTTAGCATGTAACAATGGATCTCCCGCATCAAAATGAGAGCCTCTCATTCCTCTTTCACCATGGCAACTCAAGAAGAGGTCCCCAAATTTCTCCCTAAATCGATTGATAAACTCCTCGTCTGGTCTGTGCATGGTTTATATGGGGGATGCTGGAATAGCAAAAAAAAGGAACTTGAGGCAGAGAGCAAAGTCGGCAGATTTCGCGAAATTCAAAGACATAAAACGAAACTGACTGTGCCGCGTTGGAGATGGATGTAAATTGCAGTTTTGATCAAATAAATTTAAGCTATGCTGACTGTAGGTACCGTGTACGTCAGTTTTCTTCGAAAACAATTCTCTTAGTGCCGGAATTACGTTCTTTCCAATAAACTCCCTGGAGGGTGCCGCGGTATGTGGGTATGGTCCCACTCTTTGGAGCTCGGACCGTACTCTCGTAGCGAATCACTTCATAATACTGCTACCTAGGTCCTTTTTTCTTTCATCCCAAGAGATTTTCGGTATACCTATAGTAGAAAGCGTTGGAAAATTCAACGGTGAATGATATCTGAATGGCATCAACCCTCAAGCTTCACACTACATATACCAGTTAGTATGCACAGAAAAAGCTAACGTATTCAATCTAGCTGATGTAGATGTAATCTGCGGGCTTATTCAACATGGCAGAGCCGTAGTAATTTCTTCGCACTAATTAATCCTTTACTCAATGTAGGACTTGCCCACAAGCAACTACCTAGCTGATTCTCGCGTATGGGTATTGCTTTGCCAAGACTCTCCGCCCCAGTGAGCGGGCATGACAGCCGACCAATCAGTCATAAGGGATCGTCCTCATCGGTCTATTAATGCGCATTATTGTGATAGGTTTAGTGTGATCGGCGTACATAGCCCCAATCAACTAAAGATTGGGGAGCGGAAGGGAAACTATGCACGTGATTCAAGTTCAATATCCTGTTTCAGACCCTTAGAAGACCTTGGTTCCGACTATCTGTTGGGCTTTTCCTTTATAAACCACCAGAAGTTTGGCGTTTTTCCTTGAGCAAGACAACGTTCAACAACTTGTCAATAAGTTCACCGACCCTTTCTCAATTGACGTCCGCCCTCAACACCCATTTCAATGATATGGCGCAATTCGTGCGATCTACGGTCTTCGGCAGGTTGTTTGAAACCCCAGCTAGGTAAAACCTGCAAGGTCTTATATCTATGGAGACAGAATACTAATCGTTCTTATGAGCTAGATATACTGAATTAGAAGTTTTGGGAACGGGTATTCCTAGGCTTGTGTGGTCCGTACTTACTCTGCGTTTGAACTATAGAGCCTCGGGATAGGATTGAGACTTACCATTTCCGTAATGCCAGCTCTGCGAGAGATCAGGTTGGCCAGCGATTTGTTGCATTGTCTAAATTATCAAATCCTTGCGGATCTGCAAACAATTACAAACACATATTGATGGAGATTAAATTACGGAAGCATCTCAATCATGGCAATGTTGGTGAAACAAGCCCCAAGAATTCAGGAACTGGCCGTAATGAGAAACAGATCGTCAATTTGCTTGATATATTTATATCCCCTGCGGAAGATATGTACGCTGTTTCGCTGTTCACTCCTTCCTTGCGATTCCTGTCTGTTAACATGCGCAGTTACCTTGTCACCGACCTCATGAAAACAGATATTGAGGCGCTTTTGAAGGCGAAGCCCATTGAGAACGAGTTTGTTCGGTACTTAATCTACCAAATTATGGTCAAATTACCCGTGACTTGTGGTTGATACAAGTTACTGATCAGATTTTCAGCGCGGCCTAAAATATCTTCACTCAGCGGGCGTGGTCCACCGCGACCTCAAACCAAGTAATATCTTGATCAACGATAAGTGTGATCTCAAAATATGGAATTTTGGGCTCGCGCAAGTTCAGGGGTCTTGTATGACGGGCTACGTTGCGACTGATTACTACATGGCCCCTGAAGTCATGCTTACGTGGAAGGAGTATGGTGAGAAAATTGACATTTGGAGTGCAGGATGTATCTTTGCTGAAATGCTACGCGGACAACCCCTTTTTCCACGGCAAAATGAAATTCACCAACTCCACGTTATCACAGAGTTGCTTGGGACGCCCTCAGAAGATATCATAAGCGAGGTAACCCCCAGAGAGGTCGGTATATACAGGGTTTTCATTTATGATGAGCCAAGAACAGGTCGAGCAGTCGTGGTACCGGAACCACTGTTCAGTTCGCTTTTGCGGCGATATCCCCGCGGGAAGATTTTCTCTTACAACGACAATGGATTAGTCTCAGAAGACAGCAACGACACCTCACAGAATAAGCCCGGATCTGAGAACCGCGGTACAACCGACAATGCTTACCATACCGACGAGCGACGTTCATCCAGCGAAAAGCGGAACAAGCCAACCTTTCGACAAGATGCTGACCACCTGATCAAAATATTCCCTGAAGCCAGGAACATACTTTTTTTGCCGATCTGGGACTCGGGCAAGCGCAGGTGTTTTGCCGGAACGCTGGTCTGGACGAATCATCCTGAACATGTCTTCACATCCGAAAATGAGCTCGTGTTCGTTTCCGCTTTTGCCACAGTATCATGGCCGAAATTCATCGACTCGAGGTGGAGGCGGCGGAAAAGGCAAAAACCAAATTGGTCACCAGCATCACGCACGAGCTCCGAACGCCGCTCCATGGTATCCTAGGCACAGCAGACATCCTCAGTGACACGGCCATGAATGCCACGCAATATGGCATGATTCATACAATCGAGTCATGTGGCCGCACCCTCCTGGACACCATCAACAATCTACTTGATGTCACCTTCATCGACAAGTACCAGAAAAAGCCATCTCGCCTGAGCGGAAATTTAGGAGAGAAGCAGATAGACTTGCCTGCCAGTTCGATGGACCGGGGTCACATGCAGAGTAAAGACCGCGGTGAGAAGGCATCATCTTCGCATGTCAAGCTGGATGCGGTGCTCGAGGAGGTCACTGAGTCCGTTTTCGCTGGATATAGCTTTTACCCTCACCCCCACACGCCGCATCCGGCCTTGACTGATTTCTCTTCGCGGTCGGCCGGCCCAGCGAGCGCATCCGACGTGGTTGGCCCTCGAGCCAGCCAGGTTACGATCATTTTCGACATACAGCCAGATACAACATGGGACTTTGACACACACCCTGGTGCTTGGCGCCGCATCCTGATGAATGTTCTCGGTAATGCGCTAAAGTACACACCCTCGGGCTATATCTATGTCGGTTTGGCTTCATACCAAAACTGCGCCTCTCGGAGCAAAACGGGACCGGTAAACCAATCGCTCGGAGAGCAAAACCAGGAATTCGAGGTCACTCTTACTGTGAAGGACACTGGGAAAGGCATTGGACCGGAGTATTTACAAAATGATCTCTTTACCCCTTTTATGCAGGAGGATCCTCTTGCATCCGGCAGCGGACTGGGGCTGAGCATCGTCCGTCAGGCCGTTCATTCCCTCGGTGGCTCGATCGAGATCAACTCTACCAAGGGAGTCGGTACTGAATTGACGATTCGGACTCCGCTCACCCGCTTTCCCGGTACATCAGACGTCTCGTCGTTGGAATCGGTATTCAACTCCCTGCAGACTTTTACTCGGGGAAAGACGATAGGTCTCCTAGGCTTCGGGTTCTCTCTTCGCTCTCGCCGAGATACAGTGCTGTATTCATCTTTGGAACGATTGTGCCGCGACTGGTTTGACCTGAAGGTGACTTCCGTATCTCCCTTGAAGGATGAACCCGTTGCCTTTGACTTTTACCTTGCCGTGCAGACGGAGCTGGACTCTGAGGATGTCGAGGGAAGAAATATTGTTGCCCTTAATAAACACCTCGACGGCGGAAACGGATGCAGCCCTCCAGTCGTGGTCATCTGCCAGTCCCCCGAGGAAGCGCATAGTATGTTTGTTGCAGCCAAGAATCGGGATGAAACGCCCGTCTTCGAATTTATCAGCCAGCCTTGCGGGCCCCGAAAACTGGCTCGCACGCTGAGTCTGTGTATGAAGCGACAGCTTAACCAACAGTCTGGCCGGCCCAGCCCCGAAGAGCTGACTCGCTGGGTAGAAATGCCAGAGTCTTCCCATCTGCCGTTGGACCTCGAAGTGAGCGATCCACCCCAGGAAAGAATGAAAATTAGCAAGCGACCGACGACGGACGCAATCCGGGGACCACAGTATCGAAGTCCTCGGTCTCTGTCAAGTGAGGACAGCCGAGAAGTGGATTCACAGATTATCGCGCTACCGACGTCGGCTTCGAAGGAGGGACAGGGGAATCCAGAGCTCCCCAGTCCATCCGTCTTACTAGTGGATGATAATGACCTGAACCTCCGGCTACTGTGTGCCTACACCAAAAAGGGGAATTATGAGTACATGACGGCTCAGAATGGGGCTGAGTCAGTCGCTACATATGAGGCCCACCCCGGCAAGTTCCGCGTTGTTATCCTTGGTATGTTTGAGGCTTCCTCTTGTCTTTAGTACTTAACCCTTCTTATTTTGCTGCCAATGCTGATGACACCAGATATTTCAATGCCTGTCATGGATGGCTTCGAGGCGGCCCGGCAAATTCGCCGCCTCGAGAAAGAGTACCGGGCCGGATTGGGTGAGTCGGCACGACAGGCGTTGCCGCCCACAATCGTCGCTGCTTTGACAGGGCTTGGTAGTCTTGATGCCCAGAAAGAGGCTTTCCGTTCCGGCATCGATACTTTTCTCATCAAGCCGGCGCCCAGCGACCGGATTTGTACGCAATTCTACAGCGGATAGAAGAACACGTTTAATCAGGCCAAATTCGCAACTACATCTCAAAAAGTCAACCACGGCTGCGATACCACAATACTAATGCCTGTTCACTGCAAATCTGCATAAGGATATCGCTGTCGCTTGCTAGCCACTTAGTTGACACTTGAAGCTGTCTTTGCTCTTCCTCGAGCTGTAACTTCCGGGTCGATTTGACGACGTAGCTATCCCACATGCAGAGATACAAGTCGAGCAGTTTGAGGGCTGGTGTAGCGAGGGTGTCATTGTAGCGTAGAAATTTCATGAACTCTGCTGTAAGGGCAACAGGCGTGCTCACTGGGATCTGTGCAGTATTAGTGCTTTTGTTCGTTTTCTGTCGATTAGGGTCTGACCGACCTTGGGCTCGATGGTTGTGCCATCTGAAGATTGCTATGGATGGTTTTGCAACTTGGGCTCATGTTCTGGATCATGGGCTACCCGACACTATCTCTTGGCTGGCCGGTCAATTGGGGAAGGCGAAGTGGGATGGTCCATTGTGGTCATTGAAATGAAGTAGATGTGATATTGTGCTCGGGAGCTTTTTGTAGACCGACAAAAGCCGCACACAGGCTGCTGTGATTGCACCCATGACCTTCCGGGCCTGATTTCGACCGTGTTTAAAGAGCCCGTGTTTAAAGGCGATCAACACTCCTACTTCACCTATTGCAAAGCTGCGACTACTTGTCCTTTGGATTGCGCGATCTCCTCAGCGAATACAGAAGTGGGATAATCGACCTGGCTGTGCAAAAACCATCAACTACGATGTCGATACCCATTGGACCTCTACATTTGTTATTATTGAGAGAGCTGAAGAGTGTCGCCGGCAACTCAAAGATACAGTTAACGATGCGCCAGAAATCGAAGCCTTACATCTCACACCTGGTGACTGGAGATAGCTCTCAGATATCAAGAAAATCCTGGCTCCGTTCAACGAATATGCCGAGTATGTCTCTCGGAATAGGGCTTCAATGCATATGGCGGCGCGTAAGTTTGAGGAGCTCCGTTCTATACTCTTCGCTATCAATAAAAGGAACGCAAGACCCGCCGCGAGCAGTCGTTGGGTGTTGAGGGCTGGGCTGAGACGGTGTATAAAACAGTTCCTCTTATCCAGACTATGCAAAGTCGGATTCTTGTTCCGATGCCGTGGAGCCCCGTCGGTTAAATTGAGAGGGCCAGCTGAAGCGTTCGCTCCTCACCCGGCTTTCTCAATGCTGGTTGAGTGGATGCGGATTGAATCGGCAGACGGGTGCCTGCCGTCGTAATGGCAAAAAGTAAAACTCTGCGCCTCTTTAATATTTCATCCAATTCAGCAACATTGAACGGATTACGAAAGTGAACAACTTGTTGGCCACCAAGTCTAGAGTTATCGGACTAACAGGGACTTAAACAGCGCGCCGAGGAAGTGGGCTTGCAGTAACTTGTATATTATTGAAAGTTGCATGAGCTTTGGACTTCAACGTAGCACATGGTGGAGCTAAGCCGATGCAGTTGAATGGGCTGCTAGTAAGATTTCTTGGCCGGTCATTTCTCGCTCTATATTTAAACTACTTGAGATCTGTATTTTCCATATAAATCCGAGAGCAAAATATAACGTAATCCACGGGTAACTCAAAAACATATAGTAAATGCGATAAGTTACAGCTTCATATCTCCACAACCATGTGAGATCTTACTCCAAACCTTGGTATATACAATTCCTTATGTATAAAGAACAGCATATTTAAATCTCAATCGATTTGAGAAAGTGTTTACTTATGTTACTATAAATTACGCGGTATGGTAGATCAAATAATTATTTTTAGGTTAATATTTGTAATGATTCTCTCAAAGTGAACAAATGTGTTAGGGATGCCATTTTGACACCGGAAATCTAATATCTTACCTAGGATATCTATGGTTGTTGAGATATGAAGTTGTAATTTATCGCATTTACTATGTGTTTTTGAGTTACCCGTGGATTACGTTACCAGGCCGACCCGGATGACTAATCACAAATGAATCGCGCGACACGACAAATAACGTCATAAACCTTTGGTTCGGGAATCAAAAGTATTCCTGTTCAGCTCAGTTCCCATCGGAGGCTTGAAACAACCTTCCGAAAATACAGGGCAAATCTCTCAGGATGCAGCCAGGAGACAAGGGACCAGATCCCGAAGTAGGACCTCACCACGCCCTACCTGGAAGCAAAGGCGCTAACAATATTCCCTCAGCCGTTGTCTAAAAGTGACAAACGTCACCTCAGCAAGTACGGAAAGCTGCCGCCTGAAGGCTTACTCGCCCAACAATCCAAGGTACTTAGACTACAGCCTATTACGACGCGTGCTAACTAATAAAACGGAAGGAACGGACCTACTTTGACTCCGGCGATTTCGCTCTTTCCGCCGCTGATCGCATGACAGACAACGGCGCTATTAAAACAGGCATAGCGCATCCCCATCGGGAGAGCATTTCGCATCCCTATGCCCCTATCCCAGCCGCTAGTAATGTTGACAAGGATGCCACTGAAGATTTGTATAGGAAGAGTGCGGGTCCCGAAAAGAGTCCTCTCCTTCAGAAAGAAAATATTGATGATGAAGAACCCACAAATGAGGCAGGGCAGGAGAATCCTATCTCTCACGAAGGTTGAAACCAAATTGTCACATTGAAATTGAAATCAGCATCATGTCCAGCATATTCCCTAAAAGCAGACGATGGAAAATAATGCCTATCCGTACATTTCCAAGTATTTAGATCATGTGCCCATCAATTCTGTTACGGTGCCGGAACCTGATTCTCGCCATCGATGTGCTTGGACACGTACGACTCCCATAGGCGTCGATAGAGTCCAACAAGTCGAGCCGCTGGAAAAGCGAACTTGGATCCTCGTGTTCGAGATCTGCTAGCACCTTCAATATGGCTTGAAATGGCTTGGTCGCCAAGATACGTCTTGTTTCTGCTTCCTGCTGCGAGGGAGAGAGCTGCAATGGTCAACAAGAGCATTGGAAGCTGAGCCGTTCCACTTACCATTGGCGCATGATCAGAAGCTTCCTGCGAATTGTCTTTTTCACAAACGATTAGCAATGCACTGAGCTGCTGTTCTCCTTCTCTTTCCTGGTCTGGCGTGCTGTTCGGGGCATCCATTTTGTCCGTAGGAGAAAGTCAAGGATCTGGGCAATACCACCTCCATCAATTCTTGGAGTCTCTTATAGACTAACTATACAGACATAGGTGGTTATGTACTCAGTCTCACTATCACCATAAAAGTCAATCAACGCAGTCGGGTTTTGACTAGAATCCGAAGATTTTTCAGCGCTCTGTTAACAGTCTGTTCAATGATGGTGATGGTGATCAAGTCTCGCGGTGTTGGTGGTTAGTGAGTGTACCTCATATTCAGTGGCTCACTGGTGATGAAAGGTCCTTCAGGAGATATATATTTAATCCTAACACTTTTTCCACGTTCGTTGGAAGCCTCAGAAATCCCAAAATCAGATAGAGTAAAATTTACAGTACTGAAAAAGAAAAGTGAAAGAACAAGGTATCTATCTCAACGATGGTCACAGGTTCAAAAGTTGACGCAAGTCAACAACGAAGGCCAAGCTTCAACGGTTAACGGGTCGCGCACGCGACCGTGACCTGACGCTTTCCGCAGTCTGGACGGACAGAACCACACACAGCTTAGACAACCAACACTCAAGCGAGGCCAGGTAAAAGATCCATGATCCTTAGTGATGACAATGTGAGCGCTCTTTGGTAAAATCAAAGAATGAATAGCTTCCAGTGCCTCAATATAGAAGACCGTAAATTTGACAGTGAGCCAACGTTTCTTGACCGACTCAATTTCACTCATTCTCAACATGACTCTAGCATGTTTTTATCGGTGGGTATCTAAAATGGCATCAAGAATGTCGCTGCAAATAGTCGCGGTAAAAACGAAGACATGGGTTCCAACAGACCTCATTTAGGATAGGCACCCGTGTCCTTCAACATTTGCCACAAAGCAGAGCACGTACGCGACAGGATGACCCGAAAAGTCTATAAATATGCCCTCCAACCCCCAGCAATCTTCTCTACACGTTGATTACTTGAATAGTTAACTACACCAAAGTCGAGCAGGCATTGCGTTTGATATACCTGATACGTCCTTCCCTTTGACCAAGCACTGGAACTTCCACTGTACTGACATTTATAGAATACATCGTGGACCTGAAACAGGACCTGTAGGGAGATGTGATTCCCACCCTATACCACTGCCACCCATGTCAGCCGATCAAAGAGACAAAGCTTGGGTTAGCTGGTCAAAGCATATGTGCTATGCGAACATATCTCTCCACATATCAGCTGACTGAGCTGATCCACTGTCCCGCCCCTAGATCTATCCCCGATGCAAAAGAGCGACTTTTCATACAGGTATGTGAATCCAGCGCGATACCGTCTGAGACTGGACTGACTTCGAAGACGACGCGAAACAACCAGATCCGTAGACATGCGGCCATAATACACGAGCGCAAGGACCACGGAGCTCTTTTCCGTCTCTCCGTCCTGGTCTTGACCACTGGAACATGTGAGTCATGAAACACCTCTCCGATCTACAAGCTAATGATGGACAGGGAACCGTTGACAGCGCACCAGAGTGAGCCCCGAGCATCCAGCATCCCTCCGGTCCGTGTAAAGCCAAAGCTTACCCCATTTCTGGTCCCGCCGCGTCAAACCATGCAGCATGTCCTATGTGAAATGTTGCGATAAACGCAGCGGGCCAACAACAGGGTGCGGACATCCAATTGAGAGATACGTTTCGCAGAAGTTTGAGACGTCCGTTCTTCATGGTAAGGTGGATGAGTTATCGCGCCTTCTGCTGCGCCGGATCCAATAATTTGTGCCAAATCTTGTGCCCCAAAATACGAAATACCGCCGATATCTTGATGCCATTGTAGGAGCAGCCTATCGCCACCCGTGAAAAATGTTGTGGCGAGTAACCTATTCCCGCCGAGTCAGAGGTAAGACCAAGGGGCACTACAACGCGTGCTCCGCGGCGTCTTCTGGCCGCGTCCTCACCGCCTTCACCCATGAACGGTGGAGGCTCTGGCCGTCCGCATCGTGAAATATTCCATCTTCACAGTGAACCCGTTCGAACAATCATGCCAGATGTCGTCCAGAGGCGCGGTGAGTTTGACCGATATGTAGTTGATGCTCAAAGAACAGTCGACGTAAGGGATGCAGAGGATCCAGCTATTTTCTGGCAAGAGCTGCTTGCATTGCTAATCGCGACATGTTGGGAGACGGTCACAACGGACAAAAGTTCACGCGGTCGGCTGTACGTTGATTCAATTTTTGAACTCTTGACCATCGTTAAAATACCTTGTGAATTTTTTTTTTTTTTTTTTTTNTTTTCTTTTTTTTTTTGGCTTTACTTTTTGATCACTGTAAATTCTACAAACGTTTTATTTGTCGGATTTTTGAGGCCTTCAACAAATGTAGGAGAAGTGTCGTGTTTAAATATATATCCCCTCACTGAGCGTTCATCACCAGTGAGCCGTTGAATATGAGATACACTGACAGACAGCTCCACATCGCATTGTACCTGCTCATGGCACCCCATGTCACTGAACAACACATCTGTGAATTCCACAGTATGTACGCATCGCATCCTCCCAACTGATTATACAAGCAGTGATGAAGGTGTTGAAGCGAGGCTTGCTGAAAACCGATCACTCATCATGCTGCGATGAACGTAGCCACGCGTTTACCACCAGTCACACGGGGAATTAACGATCTTTTGATGGGTGACCGAATTGGCCCAAGTCCACAAAGGTCATAGACTTGAATACGTACCGGAGAAAAGAGAGGGACGGTCGTCAGCTTTGCCACGACAAGCAGCTATCTCCGCTGCCTTTTTTCGAGCAAGCATTGGAACCATCTCGGGTACGACTGACTAGCGTACTCGATGACTGGAACCACCCTTCCAGATTAGATCTGGCAGGGTTCCCGGATATTGCAAGAGGAGGGTGAGGGATTGTCTATTTAGGGTTGTCCTGTCCTATTTTTTTCAACACGGAGAGATTACAATCCACGTCGCAATCCAAAGGAAACTACTCCCTGAAAAGCAGCTTCTACCGTTTAACTCGGGGTATGTATAACAAGACGGGTATAGAATAGCCGCCATTGATTGAACAGCCGCCGATTGATTGTAACAGGCTCTCCGAAAAGTGTCCCTCGCGATCAAAACACAACTGCTTTCGAACAATTCCGCATGTTATAGACCAATCTCAGTTGTTATCACCTTAGATATTATACACAAAAAACCTCGGATCCAGGGATAGCGTCGTAGGCAGCGTAGCTAGAAGCGGAGAAAGTGTCGAAGATTCGGATGCGATGCGAATCCCAAGACAGCGATATAAGATGATGAAACTTCTGCGATGAATTGAATGCGTTCAACGCTTATCGTACCGGTTATCCATTGCTATATTATGGCCCTTTACATCTTTCGATTCGGATTTAGAATCCAATTCGCCACTTTCAGTATTGGGCCCTTCACGATGCGTTTTGAGAGTGTGGTATTCGTTGTGACCTTCTGTTCTAGCTGTTGTAGAAGACAACTCTGGAGGTTCTGAATAATTCATGTCTTTGTTAGTAATCAAGATACAATATGACTCATAAGTTCTATGATAGCCGACAAGGATAAAGTACCATCGTATTTACCTTTTGTATTATGTGAAACTTCCTTCCTTGTATCGGCTTTCGGTGGGTTTGTGACATTGTTTTCTGGGCTTGTTGTCTTTGTCGCTAGATCTCTGTGGTTGTCTTGAACCAGAATGCCCAGTTTTCCAGGAAAAAAAGTATTGTATGGATGGTAGATATTGATCGAGAGGCATCTTTGGACAGCTTGTTGCTTAAGACTCACTTGGTGCAGGCTATCACTTGCGTATTCGTGTATGGTTCAGGACATTGTTCGGCACTGGGGCTCTTTTGCCCGATCATATTTATAGGGCATTGATACTGACACCACCCTTTGGATGCTAAACGTTAGCATCCAACGTTAGCATCCAAAGGGCGGTGTCAGTATCAATGCCCTATTTAAAAGCCCTGCTTAATCCATTCCTGCCGAACCACCAGTTTTCTCGAGTCGCCTTTCGCCTTATTCGGTCTCGAAACTCGCCATCACATCCACCACCTCGAATAAGGATACCTATACCAATACTTGAAGCTGCTGGCATTATAGGTTTCTGCAATAGGTATGATATTGGAACTGAAAGCAAGGCAGTGCCCGGAATAACTAGTCAACAACGGCGTGTTCCGATCAACTGGTACAGTAGTTATTGTTATGGCCAGCATTATGAAGGGCACCGAATCAAGATTATCGCATCCTCTCTCACCCCAAAGACACCAAAGTCCAATACCTCATCTCTCCAGTTCATCTGCCACTAGCATAGCATGGGCTTTACCCTTTCATGAGTCGATCGGTGAAATCTTTACCCCAAGCAGCGCTGATATTTGTATTAGAATGATGCTTGAGCCAGCTCCTATCAAACTGAATAGGAATAGAATATATGACTTACCTGGTATTTAGCATCACATACTCTTCCAACTTCTTGAAGTTTGCAACTCTTTCCTCCTCCCCCATAGTAAGCGCTCCATGGAGAGCATCAACAGATTCTTCGACATCCCATGGATTAAAGATGATACTCCCGTCCAAAACCTCTGCAGCACCAGTGAATTCAGATAGCACTAAGCTTCCATGCTTCAGACGCTGGGATGCAATATACTCCAAAGACACTAGGTTCATGCCATCTCGAGTAGAAGAGACTAAGCAGACATCTGAAACCGCATAGAGTGCCACAATTTCTTCGAAATCAAGTGACCGATATAAAAAGCTGACTGGCGAAAATTCAATCGATCCTTGAGATAGATTAGCCCATCTCATATTCTCTCGGTCTGCAGGAATGAACTAACCGTGTTTTCCATTTAACCGGCCTACTAGCTCATTGACCTCTGCCTGGAGACTCTGATACTCCTCCACATCTTGTCTCGTTGGAACGGCGACTTGCATCAAAACTACCTTCCCTACCCACTCAGGGTAGCGAGTTAAGAAGGTTTCCAGCGCATGCAGTTTCTGGGGTACGCCTTTGATATAGTCTAATCGGTCGACACTGACTATCAATTTCGCGCCTTGATACCTCTGTGAGAGGATGAGGATTCGTTCTTGAACGTCACTTTCTTGAATCGTTTCTGCGAAGCGTTCAGGCTGAATACCAATTGGAAAGGCACCGACAGCCACACTCGAACCGTTGAACTGCACATGGCTCGAGTTTGTAGGGAGTTTCCTGAGGAAATGGCTGCATATCAGAAGGAGAAATCGTATACGGGGACGTAGAAATAACTCACAAGATTTCAGAGCAACTACTCAAAAAATGCCTCGCATAGCTCACAGTGTGAAATCCAACAAGGTCGCAGTGCAACAAACCTGCGAGGATCGTTTTCCTCATTGGTAAAATCCTATAGACTTCACTGCTGGGAAAGGGAGTATGTAGGAAGAACCCTATCTTGACTTTCAATCCCGACAGTTGCGTCCTTTCACGGAGGAACTGCGGAAGAAGCATCGAATGATAGTCATGAATCCAGATAGAATCTCCATCATGCAGCTGCGAGGTGATCACTTCGGCGAAGAGGAAATTGACTTCATAATAAGCATCCCAGGCAGCCTTGTCAATGCGGCCCATTTCATGCAGCTGGTAATGGAATAATGGCCACAGAGTGGAATCTATGCGCAAGTTGTCAACTTAAGTATTCTTGTGTCTTTTGTAGTGACATAACATTGCACGCGGATGAGTGTGCAAGAAAGCGGGTATAAGTTGTGGAACTGACTTGAAAACCCGTTATAGTACTTGTTAGCCAATTCACTATCTAGAAATATAGGTAGCACATCATATTCGGCAACTTTTTGCCTCACAAGCTCTTCGTCTTCCGGGGGTATCTCAATGCCTGGCCATCCAAACCAACGAAATGGCATCGATTTCGCTAGACCGCCGAGAGCACCGGCTAGGCCCCCGGTTGATTGAGAGCACTCATAACATCCGTTTTCCAGTTTCTTGATTGTGATTGGCAAACGATTTGAGACAATGATGAGACTTGCACGTGAGGACTGCGTATAAGTTTTTCGAAACGATGTGCTGCTCACTAGGTGTCTTGACTAATCGATATAGTTAACATGCACAAGTTTTCGAGGGATATTTGTAAATATGGCTGAGAAAAGAATTAATAAATATTTGAGGCAAAAAACTGTGGCCAAAATAGTTTTATTCTCCGGCAGCATGGCGCAGCATGGCCCTCCTCTTACGTACATCACGGCAAGAAACCTGTAACGTAATTCACTACCGAGCTGATCACACCACCGAGCTGATCACCCCACCAAAAACGCGTCAATGAATTAGACTCTCTCTATTCAACCACCCACTATGCCACCAATTCGTACTCAATCCTCTCAAAAACGTACGGAGCAAGAGGGTAGGATCTTATTAGCTATTCAGGCTATCCAGAAGCAAGAAATTGCTTCAATTCGCGAAGCAGCGCGCCAATTTAACGTACCGTATTCAACTCTTACAACACGCCTACATGGGGTTCAAAGCCGCGCGTTTTCGCGTGCAAATTGTCTAAAATTGACTGAAATTGAAGAGGAATCTCTTAAAAAATGGATTCTCTCTATGGACTCTCGTGGAGCAGCCCCTCGGCCTTCTACTGTACGAGAAATGGCCAATTTGCTACTTACAGCGCGCGGATCTACCCCTCCTCTTTCAGTCGGTCAAAATTGGGTTACAAAATACGTTAAAAGGCATCCCGACCTTTCCTCCCGATTCTCGAAAAGCTATAATTTTAAACGGGCTAAATGCGAGGATCCGAAGATTATTTCTGAATGGTTTTCTCTTGTTCAAAAGACGATTCTAACGTACGGGATCGACCCCGACGATATCTATAACTTCGACGAGACCGGTTTTGCAATGGGCTTAATTACGACCGCGAAGGTTATCTCGCGAAGGGATGTCTACGGTCGGCGATCGCTTTTACAGCCCGGAAATCGCGCGTGGGTGACCGTAATTGAGTGTATAAACGCGTCGGGGTGGGCGCTTCCTCCGTGCGTGATTTTTAAAGGCAAAGTTTTTGTCGAATCTTGGTTCGACGGCCTTCCGGAAGACTGGAGACTTGAGGTTAGTCCTAACGGATGGACCTCCGACGAAATTGGACTTCGATGGCTTAAAAAGCTCTTTATTCCGTCTACTTCCTCGCGTATGAAGGGGAAGTATAGACTTTTGATACTCGACGGCCACGGAAGTCATTTAACCCCGGAATTCGATAAAATTTGCGAAGAAAACGATATTATCGCAATTTGTATGCCTCCGCACTCGTCTCACCTTTTACAGCCTCTCGATATAGGCTGTTTTGCGGCGTTAAAGCGCGCGTACGGTCGACTTATCGAGTCAAAAATGCGGGTTAGAATCAACCACATCGATAAACTAGACTTCCTTGAAGCCTACCCTCTCGCCCGAATTGAAGCGTTTAAATCGGAGACTATAAGGAATAGCTTCGCCGCTGCCGGTCTAGTACCGTACGACCCCGATCGAGTGATCTCGAAGCTCGATATTCGCCTTCGAACCCCGACACCCCCCTCGAGCCAGGGAAGCGAGTGGTCGCCAAAAACGCCGTCGAACTATATCCAATTACAAAAGCAAGCTTCCTCAATTAAAGCTTTGCTAAAACAGCGCTCAAAAAGCCCACCAAGCCCGCTTAACTCCGCGATAAATCAGGTTTTAAAGGCCTGCCAAATTACGATGCAATCGGCAGCAATTCTCGAGAAAGAAGTAAGCGATTTACGCGCTGCAAACGAGACGAAAAAGCGAAAAAAGTCTAGGTCAGCAAGGCAGATACCTTCCGAAGAAGGCCTCTCAGTTTTAGAGGCCTCTACCTTATTAGGGCAGCCAGAGCAAGCAGTTTTAGCAGCGATACCCTATGAGGCAGGGCCGGCTCGGGCACCTTCTCAGCCACGTAAAAGAGCCTTACCGACGTGTAGTGTTTGTGGAGTTAAGGGTCATAAATTGACAGCATGTCCTAATAGATCTCGAGTTTAGTTTATTGAATTTAATAGCGTTTTGGTTGAAATAATTGGGTTTAAAATTAATGGGTTTGGTAGGGTGATCAGCTCGGTGGTGTGATCAGCTCGGTAGTGAATTACGTTAGTCAAGTTATATCCGGAAGATTACGTCATCATTTACGTGCCAATAAAAGCGCGAAGGGTGAACTGTTGGGAATTTCACTGAGTATTAACAAAAATGTACAGTACTTCTTAGATTAGCGGGGTTTTATTACTATTATTTGGTAGAATTAGAATAGGTCTAAGTTAATGTATACGAAGCTAAACAGCTCTGATTGACACGGAGATTCAATTTTACTGATGCAGTTCATTTGACTGGAGGAAAAGAATTATGAAGAGATAAATTTCTGGCGGATTCAGGCTGCGGCGATCCACTGCCTTGTTCACATGATGGTCAGTTCTGGCCATCAACAATTCAAGGTGGCATGTTGAATCGCCATTCTCAGTGAATAGGGGGTCACAAGGTTTTAGTGGATCGGGTTTAGGTGGAGCGACCGCATTAGTGCAAGCGTCATTCCCCTTTTCGGGAAGGGTTCTTCATTGTCAGAATGAAAAGAACATGGGCTGAATTCTCACAACCAATATTTGCCACTCTTTCAAAAGGCCTTAGTTTGACTCTGCCAATGCTGGTGATAAAGTACGTGTAGGTGAGCTAGTCATGTTTGACAAGTTCTTGACACCTAATAGCCAATAGGGTTTCAGAGACGCTTACCCGAGCCTGGACAAACCCACTCCTACGCCTCTTCGCCACGAGGAGGATATGAGTCATGGGTAGCACCTATTATGCCAGCGTGCAAACTTCAGACGATGCCATAACGTCATCCCCAGGTCGAACTGGTCTTTATAAAACGGAAAATGCCGCCAATTGAAGCAGCAAGGTGTTGGCACAGGACAGACAATATAGACACATGGCTAATAAAAATATGAATGTAAGGAACCCTATATCTTCTGCAAAGGATATTTTGGTTAACAAATTCTTTCAAGCCACCCACCGACAAAAATGCCGAGACAGCCAGTCACTGTGATGTGTCTCCGATGAGAGAGAAGCTATTTTCAGAGCAATCAAAGGTCCGAGCCAATTCAAATCATGAAGTCAATACTAACAATGCGCAGCACCGTATATATTTCAGTTCTGCAGATTTCGCTCTGGAGTCCGCTCAAGGAACCTCCACTTCTTCACACACCACGTCTCAACAGTACGGGTTTCGCCCACGCTTGCTACTAACCCCTATCACAAGCTCAAATACCACCGAATGGTCAGTATATCTTCCACAGACTATGGGCAACACCACGGAGCAGTGGAATTACTGGTGGACAGATCAGACCTATGCTGGAGATCAGACCGTCACTGTGTCAGCGCCACTGAAACATGTTCCACTTTTTTATCAGGGCACACGAGCGAATGTAGTCAATGGACGCATCTTTGGCTGATTGGTTATTCAAAGCATGATACCTCTTCATGAATTACAAAACAACCAGCTTCATGCTTAATATTTACTTGGTTAAACTATATACTTTATCCAATTATCTGCAATTTTTTGCTATATCGGTAAGAAAATCAGGCCATAATTGTCTTTATTTCCTAGCAGACATAGGATATAGAAGCATACGTAGGAGGGAGGGTGTGCGTAAGAGATAGGGTAAGAGAAAGGTAATTTCGAAATCTTGTATTGAAATCTAACAAATATAATCACAGTTTAATAGAGACATAATCATAACTCTGTCATAGCGGTTGGCCAATGTCATACTAGAAGAACAAAATAGATAAGAGTGGCATCATTTCCGCTTTTGACCACTTATCATATTGGGCTGAATGTAGAGAGAATATATATTTGGCCATCAAGTGGCGCTTTACCACCCGGTTCCCCTCTTTGGCATATGAAACTTTTCATACCAAGCCCCTGGGCTACCATAAGTTGGAAATTATGCCCCACCTTTGCTTTATCATCACTAGGCATGGACTTCAAACTCGCCCAGTATCTCCCAACGTCTGGAAAAGGCCATGGCATCCTATACGCCAACCGCAGCCCCAAATCAACATCGCTCTCTTTTCTTAGCCCTTCTACCATACAATCTTGGAGCCCTACAGAGCGAGAAAACAATGAAAGCTCTATTCAAATCGCAACGGAGGGTATGTACTAGACCTTACGCCTAACCTATGCTGCTTTGCTTACGAGAAGCGATGAAATAGGACGAGCAGAATTTGCCGAGAGCCCACAAACGAAGAGAGTGAAATTTATTGCTGTGGATCCTTCCCCCACGCCTGATCAATTTAAGAATCCTGAATTGTTGGGTACTGCACTTTCAACCGAAACTGCCCATCTCAACCCCCCGTCCAGTTGTTACGACGAACTGCAGTCCCTACCATACTATATTTGCGAGGATCTCATCGCTATTTGGGTTGGTTTCATTCAGCTTGGTATAAGGTACCACGCAGGTCAAGAACCTATTTGGTGGCCGGAGAAAATACCCTTCAAAAGGCCACAGTGCCTACGTAAATTTGGTACGCTCTTATCTCCACACCAACGGACTTTCGCTGACAACAAAAAGAGAAGGTCAATCTTCTGGTAATATTACTCAATGGTAAATTGCAAGACGTCGCGACAGCTCACGAGCTGAGAGTCGCAGCCGAAGAGAGCGATAACATAGGCGACTCAGTAAAGCATCAACATACCCTTGAAAGAATTTTTCGAGGCTATGCAGCGCAGGGAAAATATCTCCGAGAGAAACCAGATTGTTGGCTCACAGTTGTTCTTGAAAATAACACTATTCAACACTCGAAAGGTTGATATCCACAAGCCCGTCAGCAGTATCCACTCCCTTCGGGGCCCTATAATTTTCACAGACAGAGATATGGGGAACGACTGGTTCCCCAAAGACGAGAAGCAATCGCATATAAAATCTCCCAGTATGCGTCTCAAGATATACATCAGGATGTAAATAATCATATGTCTTTTTCTGCATGAGGTCTAATTAGTCACCTGACGAAGGGCTCGTAAGAAACCGCCATTTTAAATTATGCTCGACACCCTGGGGTTCTCGGCCTGGTATAGCCGGTGTCAATTATCCAGAATAAGAAATAACAGATGAGTCGGACTCGAGTCAAATGGAATGGTGGGCAGCCACTCAGAAAGAATACCCATCCCTTCTCGAGCACGGGACATGAGGAAAGATTCTGCGAAAAGACGTACCGACGGCCGGTAACCGACTGGAGATATTGTGATTGGCTGCAAACGGGTCTTCAAGACAAGGCCACCGCACGAAACTCAACCTGTTACCAAAGACTACCGACACTGAATTGTATTGACTACAATCGCTCTTAATCCTGTCTCGAGTGGACTCAGCTCGCTGCACTACGGTGAGCGCTGTGTTGTGCGAGTGAAAACTTCTCCGATTTAATGCCGGTCAACGCGTTCCTACACCGTGACATCGACTCTTCTACTTATATGGAGTTATCTGAAGGCTTCGAAGGGCCCGGGTATGTGTGCCGGACTCGCCCTTTCCTGTACAGCCTCAGGTAGGCACGGCGGATTGGGACCAGTGTGTTTAGCGCATCCTGGCGGCCCACGGCTTCGCCATGACGCTATCTAGCAACTGCGTCTTCTACAAACCGAATCGCCTTGTCGCCATTTGCGTTGATAATTCACTCCGTGCCGCAGCAAATAATTGACGAGGCTCAGCATTTGCAATGTATTGGTGACAAAGATTCAATTAAACGATCTGGGAACTCGGCGTTCATTCCTCGAAACCCAGTTCGACTTTCAGACCGACGCAGATTTCAAGAAACCAACACCAATACACCCAGAAGATTCTCTCCGCCTCCTGCCCGGAGACATGCCAGCCGAAGACCGCGCCCCTGAACCCACGACCGGAAGAAGTAGACTTGGATGAGGATATTGAAAGCTCGACTTGCGACTGCAATCGCCTCTTTATGCATCCGATGGTAGGATTCAGAATGTGTACTGAATAGCACACCTTGAAAAATGTTAGCCCATCACTCTTATGGGCTATGTTGATTTTTTTAAACCGGCTCCATCAGGCCTGATTCAATAGAGAACTGGCTGCAGACAATCAGACGCACAGAGATGTGTTGAGTGCGCGGTTCGTCTCGATTGAGTTTGCTCTTTTTTCGTCTGTTATGTGAACTCGTGGAATATGAATGAAAAAAGGTTGAAAGGGACTACTAAAATAACGTCGCATTGATCTTAGAAATTGTATGGATTCTACGCGTTGGTCGGATTGGAGCTAGATTATCACGTGGGCTCGGAGGTTTATATTTCCTGGCCGGCGCTAGGTTGGGCGTCAAAATGGAAGGCTATTCTGCATTTTTACCCCGCTAGCGATGCTTGCCTCTATCCAGCCGAATTGCCAGGTTCAGCTTGGTAAGTAATCTTAGTCCTGGTGATTTCCTTTCTTTCCGATGTTTCTCGGCGTTCCTAACGTCGCCGTCCCCGTTTCTGTTGCTCCCGACGGCCATGCCTCCGGCAACAATTCACCCAGATGTGACCCAAGTACCTTGGGCTTTCGTTGATGTTTTCCTGCTGACGTCGTGCACGGGCTGTGATGATTGGTGATCACTGGCGTTTGAGGCCCACAAGACCCGCACGCTCGTTGGCTCGTTGGCTCGTGGTCCGGCCTAGCGCCATACCGGTGCGTCTGATCAGGTCGAGAATCTTGTACTGGATCCGGTCTCGGAAGGCGGGACCGGCCGGGATCCGCTGGTGGCGAAAATTGGTTCCGCCATTCAAGTGGCCTCTGGAGAGGATACCCGCCTGGGCTTTCGCACTAGCCACGCGTTGATGCAGTCAATTCAGAAGCAGGCTTGTCTTGAAGTTTTGCAGATCATTGATGTCCAGTACTGGGGAGAGTTGCAGGCGAGCAAAGAAGCTTTAGATTATCGAAAAATACTTATTCTTTGGCCAGGTGAGCATGAATGCCCAACTCTGACGGCATTTGGTTTACTACTAATTACTACAACGTTTTCTCTTTCAGACGGCGAGTCCATTGTTTTATGTCACTTAGGGGTAGGGTGAACCCTTGTTCCTTGCAATGCGGCAGACTAAGCGTATTGTATTGTTGGATTACTATTCACTGGTCAATCATTGTGTGTTTTCTCGCCCACATTGTTTCCGCGTCCTTAGAATCCTCCGCCTGGGCCGAGCGCATGACGGAAACAATTCTTCGAGCAAACATGATTGACTAACATTGCTTACCTGGCTTTCTATGACTTATGTCGCATCCCAAGCTTATCAGGATTCAGAAGTCCCCCGGCCCGCGTCCTCTGGTTTAAAGGCTATTTTATCCGACCAGATCTGAGGCCCAAGCTCCCCTCAAGGACCTGCTGTTACCCCACTTGACCTTTTCCACGTCGTGATAAATTCCTGGTCTGTCCAAATGGAGAATACCAATTGATCGCGAGCTACAATTCCTTTCGTTACCTGGGTGACATCATTAAAGTATTGGTTGAAGTTACCTCTACGTATTCGTCTAGGCTGATGATCAAAGAGAATTAGCGAGAAAGCTACTTGTGTACCAAATTTGCTAAATACATGACCCGTCAATAAATGCATCAAATAGGTCTTCAGGAAAATCCTGCCGTGCAGGATCTGCGACATCCTCTAGGGAATCTGACTGGATATCATGAAGATCGCCCTTCCCTGCCGGCCCGTCCGACCACGCCTTAACCGAAAACGTCGGTGATGGACATTTCATTGCGTCGGAATTCACTCCAAGCAATTTGTGCTGGGCCAACATAGCCAGTTTTAGACTGATCTGCTGGTAGTCACATAATTTTGCATGCTCGAACGCTTGGTTTTTGATATTCCAGATCTCCTCTCTGAGCGCATCCGCCTCAGCTGATAGTGTCTCCCACTTCGCACAATGACCGTCCAAGTCGCTTTGGAGTTGATGTTGCTCTTTCCTTTTCTTGAAGCGGCATTTGTTAGCTGCAACACAATTCCGTTCAAGTTGTCGCGCCCTTTCGGGGTCGATGCCATTGCGCAAGGCATGCGGCTCTGATAGCCGGCGGTTCTTTCGGACGAGTCCGGGCTGAGACTTGTATTCGTGGATTGAAAGGAGGTGCATTTCGGTCTTAAGCTTTCGCTCGCGGAGGCACCTGAGCAAAGTGCCTTTCTCTTTCCAAAGTAACTGATCATCAAGTGCCGATAATTCGACTGCGTTCGAAGATACATGTTCCATAGTCCGGGTTTTGAGCAGCGTAGGTATCTTAAAAGAGCAGGCTAGAACTGAAAGAGATGAGTTGTCGTTTAGCAAATAGGAATGTAAATAGTCTGGGCTAGGCCACGGGGCGCATTGAACTTGTTACTAAAAATTAATAAAAGACACGCGGGGAATTGACACGCGGGGAATTGGATTAGCCATCTGTTTGGAACTTTTGAGCTCCATGATTGGCTCAATCGGTTTGGCACAAAGAAGCTAATACGCCCTAGGCAGCGACATATTTGCATTTCTTGAACGCCTATCTATTGATGGGGCGAGGATGGCTTTGACCCTATTTCCAGGTAATCAGCGGGGTGGGATTTGCCTCCCATGTCCGGAGCACCCCCCCAAACGGAAGAATTCATTGGGCCCGGCCAGATGGGCCTGGGGAATTGAGAAACTGTGGCCCAGACGCATTTTCAACACTCTTTCAATTTCCCAGGCCTTTCTTGCCGGGCCCACCACACATTTAATGACTCTAATCAGCTCTGAATCTCAATGGTTTTTGTGTTGCAATAGTCATGTTGACTAGTGGGCCTGGAACCAGCCCGTCCTGGCCCAGCTTCGCACTACTTCTGCACATCTTTCTTGCCGGTTTATCGGTAAGCAGTTGGTTCGTGTCATTCTGGTTGACACCGTAGACACAGTGAGTGCCCGAAGGCGCTTTGAGGCAGCCTTATTGGAGGTCTAGACTGCCACTTTTCAGCCAATCTTACCCTCTTCCCTCCCCATACTTTAAAATTTTTAGCTTTGTCATCGTTACTTTGTACGTCAGCCTCGGTTAGTCTGTGGAACGCCAGCGAATTCTCAAACACGCTGATGAAATTTTATCTGTCCACGGCTTGCAGGGCGCAGTACGACAGAGTACGACAGAACTGGGATGTATCTGGATGCCATTTGGGCACCCACAATGTCAGTGCCGCAGGCCATTGTGGTTGTCATCTTTGCTTCCACTGTATATCAGAAAGGAGCAAGGTAAAGTGTAATTCATTTACCCCGACCCTACTCAACCGCGGTCTCACAGATAGTTCTTCAATCCACTCTTATTAGTGGGTTCCCTCAGTACTAGTCTGTGCGTAAAACTTACGATCCGTCACTTACGAATAACCTTCCGTGATAGTATTTTTGGCAAGAGTATTACAAGTATTTTAAAGAAACTTATATCAGGTGATGTTATCCTCCAATAACGGTTCAGTACTTGAAGCCACCCAGGTGAGATACGGAAAATTATACTAGAATCTCTTGTCGACATTTGGGAAGAAAGCGGTTTCGACGAGTTACCATATACAATCGAAATACTGTCGTGGTTGTATGCTGGGTGGGAAACAAGGTCGGATCGATGGCGGACCCACACTCGGGCGCTCCCGAGCTTCCTCGCGGCTCACCGCAGTAATGCAGTCTCCGCCATCGACCGGTCACCTTGCCAAGACAATAGACACAAGGAGGGACTGAATCGCCAACTGCGCTTCAAGACTTGCCTATCCCAACAAAAGACCCTTCTTTGACAACTGCATAGGAGATAACGCTACGAAATCACCCTGATAATGCGCAGTCTTCGTATTCCAGATCCAAAGCCGGGTGGAGCAACATCCTATCGCCGTTTCCCAACGCCTTATCATCTACTACTACACGGGGGAATATGCTGGCTGATGAGCTTGGCGGATCCCTTAGAGGTCATATGCACTGGGAGTTCCGAGACCGAGATTTCCCAGTCCAAAGAGCCATCGTCGTCGATTGAGTCTTTGGAGACTCCTTCGCCAGTCTCAGCTTCCTCGTCATCGTCTGGTAACAAGGCCTTTTGGAGGAGTGTCTCTAGAAAGCGGGAAATCATCGGTGGCGATTTTTCTGTTCGTCGAATTTGATGTTTGAGCGGTGTGTGGCAAAAGATAAGTCATCTTTAACGGTATGGCTGAAACAGAGGCTGCTAGATACAACTTTGGTTGACAATGTGTTCCTGAGCACTTAAAACTGCAATAAGTTTCCTGACGCACTAAGTTTGCACACCCTGCAAAGATCTTAGGACCACAGTTTGGTAATTGGCTCTGGCTAGGCTATCAGTAAGTTAGAAGGAGCGTAACCGTAACACCCATAGAGCGAACTATCTATCATTGGACGGGAAGTAGCCATGCGCGGGCTGAACAAGCTAGCCCAATTGATTTTCCACAACTGGAAAAGCAAGTTTAATGCTTCCGGGACAAGTTTCCGGCCGAATAGTTGTTCAATATTCATCGCGCTGCGTTCATGATCTTTGCATACGGGAATCCCAAACTTTCTGGGGCGGGACGGGTCGCTTGGGAAGTACGTTCAATTCTCGGGCTAGAGATCTGACCGGTAAGGGTGAATTTATAAATAGTACTCGGCCTCCTTGCGTGGAACGACGTTGCTAATTTGACAGGACAGCAGATATATAAAATCCCATCTTTTCAGGCCTGATTTCACTGGTCAACTAAAATCTCAAGCCCCGGTTGTTGTGTCTGTATCTTTTCACTAAAACCAACGTCCACACCCCAATATGGACATATCTAGGATTCTTGACCAAGGTATAGACAATCCTCTTCATTCGAGATTTTGGCTATTAATAGCACTTGTTTTTGCTTCAGGATCACCCGAATCAAAAGATAGCAGGATATTGAAACACAGTATTTCGCATCAGCCCATTATTACTCAAACTGAAAACCCCAAAATGCCCATCCCCCCACTACATCGCGCCGCTCCATGTCCAAAGAAACGAATAACACATGCGTGCAGACCTTGCCAGGTAAACAAGTCAAAATGCTCTGGCGAGCGTCCAAATTGCCAGCGCTGTGATACGCTGCAGATAAATTGTTGGTATAACTCAAGGAAGTGCGAACGCACAGAAAGGTGAAACTAGTTTCAGTCAGGTCTGGTACGGCAGTATTAACGGCTCAATACAGAATGCTCGAACAAATATCTGGAGAAGCAAAGGATTATAAATTGGTACTACAGCAATTACACCCCAGAACCAATGGTGATGACTCAAAATTGATAATGAGCGTGCTGGCGAAGCATGCAACATCGAATGGGCACATTCGGCAGGAATGAGGAAATCTCTCTACGTTGGGCTCCCAATTTCTTTAGATAATGCCAGCAGCAGTTGTGATACCATGCCACCGCCACCTCATATGTCGCACTGAGAGAAGGGTCTCCGCATAGAAGAGATCTGTATGGAAAATGGTACTGTAATGATTCCCGGCTTTTCCACAAAATGGAAGGTGGGACGTGGCGAGGACTGATTTTTTATTAGAGTGAGATTCATGACGACAGCAGGATATGTGCGATGCTTATAGGCGTAATTCATGCCCCCACGAAGCAAGCCAACTCCTTATTGGTAACGAAAAGTATATTGTTGAACTCTGCGACCTGGAGGCGAGTCTGTGTAGAGCTTTTGTGTCTATATGTACCTCTACAGTATGGAAAACCTCTGCGCGAAAAGCGGTCTGCCGCTCGCCATCTCATTGTATACCGCGATTAACCATCACACGATAACCACGTGACCATGCAGGTGGTAGAAGGGTATGTTGGTCAGTAAGTAGATTGTGCCAAGAACCATCTACCACTATACCACCTACCACACCTACCAAGGAAGGACTTGGGATATATAGGGAACTCATGTATCTAGTTTAGTTTTTTGTGTTTAATTATACGTTGTTACTTGTGTCTGCTGTTCAGAAACCTTGGCGACTCTTTACTTGATTATAACTTGACAACACTACTATCAGACCAATGTTCCGGTAAAGATCTGTTCGGCGCTCTACCTGGCATCGCTCCTAGATACCCTCAAAAGGAATTAGCCCGTATAAGGCCTGACAGGCAACGGTACGGTTGAGAGACCGATCGTTGACGTTGGAAGCAGAGAAACATTAGGCAAGTATAACCCAGAATCTTCTAACTTAGCGACGACCCGATAGTCGTGCGTAACATCTACACACCAGCGCATAAACAGGAAGTTTTCGGACGGCGTGATTGCGTCTAGCCCAGCTGCGCCTACGAGGTTCTCCGTAACCTCTTTGTGGTCCCCGGGAGCTTTGAAGCTCGCAGGGTCGCAGTTACTGTGTTAACTTGCTATTGTAATAATATGAATGAGTTGGAGTATGATTCCCTTCTAGCAACTAGAGTCAGTATCTGTGCTTCGCCGTACTCAATAATTCCCCACAGATAGCAGGGGTTTTATCTCGTTGGTTCGCCGTTCGCCCTTCAATTGGTGCACAGACAGACGTCGTCCCATTACTGCCTCCAGAAGTAACCAGGAAACTGTACTTACTAGGTCCGATTTCGTCTGATATCATCTTTCCTTGGCTTTGATATTTTCGCGGCTGAAGTCTAGGGAAAAACTTTTCCTTGTTTTATGCGTATTTTCTATCTCTGTCCATATAAACAGCAAATCGACATCCATAGCTGTATCCAGATACAAACATGCACATCTCCATCATCACTACCAAGGAACCGGTCACGCTCCTGTTGACGGTTCTATCAGTTCTAGGAACACACGTCTTGGTCCTGGGGGTTCTCTTGCTCCCGGAAGCCCCTGAAACGTTTCTGGGAGCAAAGAAGCAGCTTCTAGGAGCCACGTAGCCCCAGGAAACCCGACATAGCTTGTGACGATTCATGGATGCTTGGGTTTTACCACTACGCCATCTGGCCAAAAAGGCACAATGTTTGGTCAGCGACCAAACACCCAAGCTACTATATATGCTGGATCTCTGACAATCCATGTGAGGGTCTCACGTATACATAGAGGTGGATAGTGTTTCACGATGAACAATCAATATTAAGAACAACTATAGTTGACTCTAGATACAAGACGTAGCGCGAGGAAGCAAAAGAAAGGTAGCTTCCTCGCGTTCAGGGGAACCCATATACACCATGTGGGTCCCGCGCAGATCATATCTCCATCCGTTCCGTATGCTTCATGTATATCCTTGACAATCCATGACATGGTTCTCAGGCACGCTATTGATTGCTCCCAGGAGTAAGAATCATAGTTCGGTCTCTTCTGATCAATCTTAATTCATTCGTGTTGGAATATGCCGTAGTAAAGTCTCCATCTAACCCCCATCTTTCACTTCATGCAATGCATCCATACCTAGAGTAACAGACAGGAAAAGCAACAAGATAAAACCTGTCGATATAATAGAAAGGAGCAAACGCCAAGCCTATTCCATCCCCTCCAATTTTCATTATACTCAGCTCTACCCAAAGCAACAGACTCCAACCCAACCAAAAAATATCACCGCCTCTTCTTCCCCTTCCCTTTCCCATGTCCCCTAATCTTCAACTCCACAAAGCCAAGCTCCTTCAACCCCTCCGCAAGAATACTGGAATGCCGCATCCCCGGGAAATCCTTCGCAGGATAAACCCGAAACGGATCCGACCACGCCTCCGCAAGGATCGGCATCGACTGACTCGTATCCTCAACAGAACCCCAATTCATCAGGCGGAACTGGAGCCGGTATAGACCCGCGGAGCGGATGGAGAGATCGGCAAAAATAAAGAATGTAGCAGGTTGGTGGAGGCGCACGGAGGGGTGGTTGTGTGCGTCTGACGGGCTGGAGAGACGAGGATCGTTTATTGAGGATGGGTGTGGGGGAGCAGAGTTTGGGTCTGGGTCTGCTTCGACGTAGAAGGGGGACATGAAGGCTTTTCCTGAGAGAAGGAGGGTTGAGAAGGGGTCGTCTGTTCTGGCGACACCGTCTGTATCTCGGTCTTTTTCTCTATCTTTCTCTCGGTCTCGATCTAGATCTCGGATATCTGATCCCGTGAGTTCGGACCATGGTGATTGGGGAGAGACGGGGAAGAGGAGGCATCCCACTGTGAAGCGGGGGTCTTGGAGGATATCGCTGTCTTCTTGGGAGTTGGAGTCGAAGTCTTTTAGGAGAATCTGGACAATTGGGGGTGGGTTGACGGGGCGGCGGTGTCGGTCGCCTGCGCCGCAGGCTCGTGCTGCTATGGGTTGTTGGCGGACGTGGAGGTGGTAGCGGGATTGGGTAGAGAGGCGTCTTGGGTGTGCTGGGGGAGATTCCGCTTCTGGTTCGTGATGGAGGAGCTTGTCGAAGCCGTGGGGCGTTCTGTAGTTTATATTCCGGGGTTGCTTCGAGTCTTGTGCGCTGGGTAGAATCAGGGTCGATGAGTAGGTTGCTGCGCTTCGATCTGACCAGATGGGGCTGGACATGGCCGTGGAACGGCTGCTGTGTCTATATAGATTGTCAGGAGTTATAATGGAATCATGTGCTAATGATTCTCCGTTGTGTGGCTCGTCACAGATGTGACATTAGACAGAATGTGGGAGTTGACGCCAAAAACATCACAACAGGATGAGTGCCAGATAGAGATGGTTGAAATGAGAAGGGAGGAACTTTACTGGGACTCCCCGTCGTACTGCCGGCTCCGTTGGCTACCATCATTGTTCAGGATTGGATTCGATCTCTCTTCATATGGTGTATAGTACCCACGAGTATCAAAGTCTGATGGATATGATCGTAATTGAAGTGGTTGTATAGGTTGTCGGGTCATATATGCATTGTCGGTGGAGAGCGTATATCGTGGATCTACTCTTTCGGGAAGAGGATTCAGGGCAGGGAGCCAAGGAGCGAAAGGTGCCGTGGGCACAGGGCGTTCGTAGCACGAGGTCTGTAATTGTCGAGGTTCATGTCGCGCGTATGGATATGGAATGGGTGTCGCACGCTGTTGGACCGAGTCGATGTGTGGCCACTCCGGCGCGGGATGCCCATATTCCTGCGGTGGTCTCGACATCTATTGACTTGTGCCGGGGCAGGACCTCGTGTATAGTTTATGTACTGCCGTATGCGGACGGGGTTTTAGCTGAACAGTCATTGAATGCGACCCAACTGAGCACAGTTAATGCCGAAGAGTTATATATGACCAAAGATTGGAAAGAAGAAACACGTCAAAAACATGAATGTATATCCTGGATCTTCCTGCGGTCAAGGCATCTAATAAGCCGCATGTGAATGCAGCTTCAATAGCAGCGCCCCATCACACTCGGTGGACTTCAATTGTTCCGATCTATACTTGCCTCGGGGGTAACGTTGGTCAATTTCAGCTTCAACGAAAACTTGTGCACAGAGCGAATTTCCACCCAGTTTTCCCGTGTCCAATCACCTCAGGGTTGGATACGACAGGGAGCAGTGGGAGGATCAAAGATACACTTATTTTTCAACAGAACCACAGCCTTGACCCATTTACGATTGGCGCTGTACCCACCGATGCACGATGAAAAGGGAAGAGCCGAAGGGGGGAGGGGCCGAGCCGAGCGGGCATGGTTTTGCCACGAAAGGGGACGCCTGTGCGCTGTGTGGGCTGTGTCTCCACGGAAATTAGTGCCTTTGAGCTGAATGAACCACTAGGTCTGATCCTGACAGAGACTGGCGCCCGAGGGTTTCCGATCTGTCGGGATGAAGTGGCTCGCGTTACATGTGCCACCCATGTCCAGTCGCCTGTTCTTAACCCATTAGGCGTCAGGGTGGAGGAGGGGGCTTGGATGGGGTAACTGGGGCCAGTAACAAAGTCCTTGTCTGCCTTTTCGCGGACCAGGCGGACCATAAGTTGTACAGCTCCTGGGGTGAACTGTATACAGCCATTCTCGAAATCGGCTTGACCAATACACACTGAATAAATCTTCCCTGGACCCACCGCCAAAGGCTCTAGTGCGGATAAAATATTGAGCAAGCCGCATTAAAAAAAATTGATGGGTAAAGTTAAAATGGTTCCCGATAGTCCTGTATTATGCTATGCATAGCTACATTCTACTATTTGACCGTTTATCAGTAAGCTTAACGGTCTTGGTACTAAAAGGCGGCATAATATACATGGCATAATACTGTGGCCCTCAGTTTGAAACGGCTTGCTCAATAAACTGACTGCGCTAAAGCCTTGGCGGCGGGGCCAGGGAAGAGTTGGTTGCTCAGTGTGTATTGGTCGAGCCGATTTCGAGAATGACTGTACATGTACCACAGCATGAACTCTTTGATCGTGGTAATATTGGGAACAGAAGATCCCTTCTCCAGCTTATAGCCGACTGGAACACTCCTGCTGTCAACAAGAAACCTGATGAGTCAGTAAACAAGGAAATTGAGAAAGCATATCGTGGTTACTCACCCAACCCAAAGCTCAACATACCTCCGATGAGTCGCTTTGACACTGGCAGTACGCAGATTTTGTCTTTACTTGCTGAATCGAAAGTCCGAAGAGGAATTCCCATATCTCAAAATTAGAATTGGCGCGGCACTCAAGGCAAGAAGAGTAAAATAAAGAGCCGGTTTGTTACAAATGCAAATTCAGGTAGAAACTTCGGTACTTCACCATCCATGGAAATTTGACCAGTTTTTATAGCTCATCTTTGGAACTTGGAACTGTCTTACAGTAGCCAGGTGTTTTGAGGCAAAAAGTGACGTATACACTTGTTCACCAGGTCCAACGCGCACATAATCCTACGATGTATGCAATCCGTCCTAGGAGCAATATGCATGATGTGCTGCCAGTTTACAACCCTGCTTCCATTGAACGCTTCAAGGTGGCTATGATTATTCATATAGTAGCTTGGGTATGGGCCAAAATGAAGTCACCGCTTGCTCCCTGGAACCGAGTCTTAAATAGCACCACTAGGAAATATCTTAAATAACTGCCATTGGACACCTATAAGCAAATATGAACTTCTGTCACAAGTTGCGATGTCTTTAGGCCGACATCCAATCACCTCTAGCTGTAGAGACATTCATGTTGACTAGTACAGCCGTGAAAAAAAAAATGCAAAGTGTAGTACCTTGACACCCGGCCACTTAGTGCCTTTCTTCTTGCTATTTAGCCATTGTGCTGGTCAGCAATATGTCGTGTTTAAACTCGTCGACCCTTACTTCAATGGGTAGCCTTTACTTTCCCACTTACTACCTACTACAGCTCTACTCAAAGGCACTAACTTATAGAGTTTTCATAGCCAACGTCGAGAAAGGCAGTACCTTTGATTATCATTCTTAGAGTACTTCTTCCCCCTAAACCTTTCGCCCGATGGCCAGTTCGGCCAGTCCCCGTAGTGGGGCCTCCTCTTCGTTAGCCCAATCATGTCATCTCTCTACGCGCCCGGATCAAGTTTCTAATTTAGTCCGAACGTACGTGTCACATCGTTCCAAGTGCTACGACTCCTGACTTTAATCGTGTAAGTGGAAGAAAAAAAAATATCCTGCCCACTCAGTCAAATCAAACTTGAACACAATAAGCAAACCTCGAACGATGGATCTTTATGAAGCTGCGAGGCAAGGCAGTATTGATGGTATAGAGTCTGCGGTCGAGAAAGGGTGCGATGTCAATGCCCTCGACGAATACGGGAATTCCCCTCTCTGGTTCGCCGTACAGAGCGGCCATTTAGATGCATGCAGGATTCTGATTGCCCGAGGAGCTCGCGTGGAAAGGCAGAGTCCCAGCATTCTGGAGCTCGCAGTCCAAGGAGAGCATGCAGAGATTGTGGAACTGCTGTGGCCATACTGCAAAGTGGAAAGACAACATCGCAGCTTAGAGACCGCTATCTCACTGGGGTTTCATGGAATCGCAGATTTCTTGGTCGGAACTCGAGTATTCGAGTATCAGAAATCCCAAGCCAGGGATATAGAACTGCTCATAAGAGACGGATTCTCAAGACGAGAAATCACAGCTTTTCAGCAATGGGAGAGATTTATCTTTGTTCGGCGCTCGGAGAAGCTCAATTTGCATCGTATTTTTTTTGACTATGCCCTCCTTCTCGCAACGAAGGCCGATCGCAACGCGGGGCTTCGACTGGTGAATTTATTGCTTGAGGGAGAGAAACCTTTGGCCGACGCAAATTGCATGATCAACATTAATAAGGAAATTGAGACACCTTTGACGAATGCGGCTGAGAAAGGCAACTTGGAAATACTGGCTACTTTGATTGAGCGCCCTAATACAAGGTTGACGATCTGTGGCAAATATAACTGGCCTGCTTTTCTCCATCTGCTGGCGAATTCCGAGCCCATCGCCTCTGAAAAGGGCCGGGCCATAGCCGGGAAGTTGTCCACAGAGAGTCTGCCCGATTCATTTCTCATTGATCACAAGGGATCTCGTCTGGAAACTGTATTTAAAAATGTCCTTCGGCTGGGTGACGATGCTCTTATCAAGCAGGTGATCGACTTTGTTCACGGCGCTGCAGGAATTTGCATTCTGCCGTTGTTAGTCAGAGCGAATGAGACCAAAGGTCTGAGATGGATTTTGAATAGAGACATCGCGCACGCATCCAAACCGCCACCAATACTTTGGGTGCTGCTTTGCAACTTTTTCAAATGTGATCCAAACTCTAAGGCTTTGACAACTTTTATTCGAGTGGCGGAATTCCTGATAGAAAAGGCGATTTGGGACAGGATGGTACTGATGTGCCTCAATTCTCGCAACTTTGGCTTTGTCAAGCAATTCTTCTACCCTCTCAACGAGATCCCGCCCAGGGAAGTGGCGGAAGAAACATTGGCGGCATTTTCTCAGGCGTCAACAGATCCATCCCTCGTAAGGGAGTGGGCTGAAAAAGGCTTTGCTAATGCAGCACTCTGGAGCGTCATTCAATCCGGGATATGGAAGAGCCCAGCATTTGAAAGCCTCCTTTCATGCTCTAATATTGACCTTGACGAGCCATTTCCACGTCGAAAGAGCTCAGACACAGCAGAAGATAATATACCTTTACCTCCTTTGTCGGGCAATTCAACGGGTGAAAAACGAAAATTCCCTTTCAGATCACCTACAGGAATTTCCCTAAAATCGCCTCTCGACCCCGGTATGCCGCAGAGTCATGCCCTCCAAGACTACCAAATGCAACTCATGTTACTGGAGCAACAGAACAAGAGGCGGTTAATGATGGCCCGAAATGAGCAAATGGAAATGACAGCGGGAAAAGGCATTCTGGCTTGGACAGGGGGGAAAAGCCCTCTGGCTTGGGCCGCGGCAAATGGTAATGTTGAGCTTGTGGAGGCTCTTCTGCGCAGTTCGCGCGTCAATGTCAACTCACAGGATGCCCAGAAACGAACCCCTCTCATGCACGCTATTGCCGTCAATGATTGGCAGACTGTGGAAGAATTGTTGAAAATTGGAGATATTGATCTCAATTTGCGGGATAGTGAAGGTAGAACCGCTGTTTTTCACGCCGCACAAGGGGGGGAATTGCATATCATACAATTGCTCACCCAGACCCAAAAGGTGGACTTTTCCATTCGTGATTGCAACGGCGAAAGTGTCCAGGAGATTGCGGAAAATAAGGGAAAACAAGATGTCGTGGCTGCACTTGCGACTTGAGGGTGGGATACTTTGCATCGCTTCAGTTGCCGCCTCGCGTAACCAAATTTGTGCCAGTAGGTCTCGAAATTCTTCAGGCCACTTGGAATACTCTATTCTGCTGGAAATTAATTCATACCTGCACTTTCCCATCTAGATTGTAGAACGTTTTATAGGCCAGATAGACAAAGAAGCATCTTCTTGCCACTTGACAGTCGCTTTTGCACAGCATCCTCTTGCTCAAGAACTCGATCTGTCCTCAGTTGATAATATATTATCTGCAGGTGCTACTTTGAAGCCCGAGGTTGTTGAAAAACTCCAAAAGAGAGTACTTCCTTGTGTGAGCGGCTAGGAGAATACGGCCTTGGATCGGTTTTTAGCCTACCTCTATGTTGCCGAACATTCTCGTGATATCCCAAATACCTCACCTCCCCCAACCGTACCTCCTAAGCAACGAAGACCTGTTCCATCCGCACACTGACGGCCCGTCAAGTCGAGGCTTGTGGATCGTGTCTGGACCTTTGCAAATCCTTCCAATCTCTTCTCCGGGCCACAAATAGAACCTCCTTGATCTACTGTCCCGTGGTCGTCGCTGGGACCTGCATCGTAGAACCGTACCTGCGTGTGTCTAACTTCGCGCGTGGTGTTTGATTGGTCCATCTGGTGCTATTTGTCTCCAGGGTCTTATCAGTGTGATAGTAGCGTTGCAATCTTGCGAGGGGGTGGCAATCACGAGAACCTAGCTCGTGAGCCTTCGTAGCTGAAATGGCTCATATGGCTGTCCTGGAAACCAGCCTTTGGTTCTGTCGACGGTGGAACGGGTTAGAATTTAGATCCCGCCTCTGCTATAACATCGTTCGTCAATGAGGGCCGTGAAGGGGGAGGATCGCAGTTATTAACCAGATGACGCCATTTATGTAGAGTTGTGCAAGAGACATTAACTCCATTTTATCTAAGGGCAAAGCGTCTTTCTCGAGTGCAAGAGCGACTCGGATTCTTCAAATATAGCCGGCATTGAGACACCACTGATTACATGGATGTAGTCCTCTGCGCGGGCCGGCCGATCACTTCTTCCACAATGGACCGGCAGGATTTCTTTTTCTTCTTTTTACTTTTTCTTTTCTTTTCTTTTCTTTTCTTTTCTTTTCTTTTCTTTTCTTTTCTTTTCTTTTTTGTACTTCACGCTAGCACCCCATGGGGTGCGGTGTGCAGAATGGTTACTCGATCTTCTCTGCTCATGGTCCACATGCTAACAAACAAAGTCTTGGCAAGGGCACAGCGTTTTCATTTCGTTTCAGATCTCTTGCTTTCGTCTCCACCTAAACCTTTAAAATCTTTGTTCCCCAGGGGGCTACATGTACTGCGATCATTCGTGTTCTACAGTTTGACCGCAATTTGCTTGAACCAACAGTAATCCCTCGAACGGAAGGACTCAGTATGGCAAATGACTCCAAGCCCTCTCGGAGTGCAGGACGCGGTGCTACCGAAACAAAGTCTCGTACTAGCAGATCGCGTGCTGGTTCGCCTTGTTCTGTTCGGTCGACAGTTTCCACGTCCAAGGCGGACCGTAATCCTCAGAACCCAGTAGCGAAGCTACGCAAAGACCTGGTATGTCATTCCCTATCTTGTCTTCAGTTATTCGTATCTTTCTGCACCGAAAGACATGATGCGATCTTCCTTCGATAATGTACCCTTGGCTGACGAGCGTTTCCAGGGACATTCTATAACAAAAACCGCCCGGAAGAAAGACTATGAGGCGACACATCGACACTGTTTGGATGTGATGGACCAGATTCAAGAAGAGTTTGAACTAGCTCTTGGGAAGATGGACGACGAGAGAGCCCATGGTTCCCAGTTAGTGCAGCGTCTGCATGTTGAAAAGGCCCAGGAAACTTCGAACCTACAGCAGGCTATCACAGCAAAAGACAAAGCCTTGGAGGAGAACCAGAGGCTTGAAAGAGAACTCTGCCAAATCAAGCAGCAGCAGGAGTCATTTGACGCCACCATGCAGGATCAGGTCTCATGGAACGATATTCAGCCGGTCTTGCATCAGACGCACTGTGAGCTGGTATCTGCGACCACTCGGCTCTGGAACACGATCGATGCCCTTCAGAATCGTAGACCAGCATCGTGCCTGCCTGGCTCTGAAGTAATTCACGGAACTTGGCCCGACCAGGACGGCCCGCTGGGGAATTTGGGTCAAAATGCCCTACCCGGATTCTCCTCATCGAGTAATGACCCACTTGTTACTCAGCAGGTGCCAGCTCCAACCAACCAGTATGAATCGCTTATGTGAACCATGACAGACCTAGGGTTTGGGACGGCTTTGGGAGTGGCGGAACTTCATAGTCAATTTCATATAACCACCTCGCAGGCAGATAGCTCAAGGCATAATCTTTAGCAACACCATCGCCATCCCAGGATAACAGCAAAATTGAAAACAAATGTATGTATTGATTTATCTTCCGCTATAGTAGAACAAATTTTCACGTAAGATCATAGTTAGATGATCAGACTTTCGCTGGGCCAATTGGAAGGAAGAGAAAATGTTCCATGGCCGCTGAATGTGGTTAGCAGCAGGGCCACAGCTCGGGTGGTTCATGATCGTCTAATGGCAGTGACTTGAAATGATCGCCAGGCAATGAACTCCCGAAGAACCTTAATCGCATGTTTTATCGTATCAGGTTGCGACTTCCTGCCAACAAGGGCTGACATCTGGCTTTAGAGTATAGACTTAATTTCATATATTTCGATCTGAATTACTTCTGCGAACGAAGCGTTCGTCTAGTTGTATCACCCTCAGTAGCATCGTTCTCCCCCTCGTTGGCCCTCATTCAATAGCCGTCTCCACAACCGCCAACCGATTGCGGATGTCCTCCAGAACACTGCGAATATTTCCGATCCAGTTGGTCTGGTTATTCAATGAAGTCTGCATGGACCTGGAAAATAATCAGTGTTTACTCTTTCCCTGGTGGCTGGCGCGACTGACTTCGTTCGGACATATAGTCTAAATTCTGTAAGCAGACATACCACAAACATCATTCCAGGGAAGCGGATTGACACTCACTCTGCGAGACATCGGAAGATGATCATTTTGCAGTTTTTGGAGAGATCCTGTCCGGGTTCTTCCAGTTCTTCTTCTGGTCTCGGGCCCGTACTCCAGATGTGCGGAGGACTTTCCTGGCCATCATCCGCTGTGGTGCCGTTGCGGTGGTTGCCAAAAGAGTCATCCTCCTGAGAACACTCGTCCTCCGTAGTATCCCCCGCCGCGGATCTGGGCGGAATCCAGATATTCTCAGACCCGGAGGATGACAGGGACAGTGCACGTTGTAATCGTTTCCGAAAGCTTTGTTGTTGATCAGTAAACGGAAGTTTTCGAAATCCACCCATAGTTGAATCTGTGTCAAGGTGAGATAACGAGTTTTCAAGTCGGATGTTACAGGAGAAGTCGCTCAGGCTTTTATGAAGAGTTTGCTCTCCAAACCGGAGCTTGTGATCGAGGTTTGCAAGGCCCACTATCTTCCATCAGTACTTACCACAATTGTCGCTTAATGTGGAATACATTCTAGCCAATCAGGGACGGAAGTCATTCAACTTTAGAGGAAGGGACTTCGTCAGAAGGCAAAGTTTTTGCCGCTGAAGTCTGTTTCATGTTACCTTACTCAGTACCCGGTGGGGCTCGGTTTGAGAACTCATTACTATGTTCATTTCCACATACAGTCATTATATTCAAGGTTTTTACAAGTACGAAACTGATGGTTGGTCGTTACTGTAGCTATGAAAATCTCCGGACGCTGGGAGTTCGGGGGATTCTGAAATACGGAGACGATAGTTCACAACTCAGACTGACCGAATCGACTGTCCAGAGTGGTCCATGGGTCATGGCACAAGCCTTCAGAAAATTTCAGACGAAACAAGGGTAGTATCTCAGCTTTTACTGGGACCTGGAGGGGATTTAGGCTCACCTTTCCCATCCATGCGGAGTTCAAGTCGTGCCATTGCTGAAAAGGTCTCTCTGGTTTTTGTTAGTTCATGCGAGCGCTATGCCTCCTCGAAGCGAGGTAGTCTGGTCAGAATGGGAGGAAAAGAACCTTCTCTCCTGGCATGGATGCCCATCGGGCGCTGTCGTGGAAAGCCCGCTCCGACGCATATTATGAACAATATCAGGTGGACCGAAGCGTTGAGTCTCTACGAGTGAAAATGTACCATATCTTGCGCAAGCAACGTCTCTCTGGTGCCAGATCGCCTAAGCATTCAGGCAATCCAAACCAAGCAGGAACTGTTCGTCGCTCGGTTGGCCGTAGGGGTTCATTGGCAACCCTCCCTAATAAAAGGCCTGCGCAAAGCAACATTGAAAAGTGGTTTCAAACAACCTTAACAGCCGAGCCCAGCCATATCGACAGCATTGAATCAACCAAGACGGAAGGCTGGAGACGAGGTATGAGCTGACCTTCTTCCAACGTTTGTTACAAGCTGATCATCAATCACAGGCCGCGCGATGTCATTACTCCGTCCGTCACAGCGTAAAGAAACGCGATCGTCATCGCAGATTTGGGACTACGTACATCGTGTCTCTGCAGCCAGGAAGATGAGATGCCGATGCGCGGAACGTCCATGCTATCAGCAGTTCGCTGGCATGCGCGCTACATTGTGATCTCCAAGCAACCATAGTAACTATCTCGATGAATTAGTGTTTTTGGATGATGCTACAAACGGAGGATGTGGCAGCTGAGCAATCAAGACGCAGCATGATGAATATCTCAGTGATTGTAAGTATGAATTCAGCTACTTTCAAAATATAAACAAGCATCATTCTTTGGAATTACAACAATACCGAGGAAGTTACAAGGCCATGGTTTGACAAAGTTACCCCAAACACGGTGGAACATTACCGGGGTCGTCGATCAATCGCTGAACCCTGAAATAGAAGTTCGATGAACCATGGAAACGGTCACACGGTGAGAGAATGCGGCTGTCATGATTGATCGACGAGAAAAGCTTATCTACAAATTTCTGCCCCA